ATCGTGTCACTTGAAAGTTGTTATTGAAGTGTAGTCTTTGTTTTTTTTGTTGTGTTCTTGTTGCTGGTTGCTGAGCTGAGTCGAAGAATCGTCTTGAGATCGTCGGAGTCAGGACTAAATCCAAATCAACAGCTTGCGCCTCTTGATTCAAGTCGAGGCCGGGTCGAGTCAGGGATCCAAAATTACATTTTGGCCCTGTAAATTGTTACACGTGCATTCGAAGCTGTGTGAACATCGAAATCAACGTAGTTTTACACCACAACGTCGTGTAGAGTTGTGTGTGGTATCATCGGAGTCCGCCAAACCTTGCGGATTCTTTGAAAATCTTAAATTTGTGTTACGGGAGGAATTCGTGGGGATAGAAAATTGTTAAGAGTTGTTCTAGTTCTTTTTGAACTGCAATAATTTTAAGGTTGAAGGCAGCGTAAAAGCACCGTAGTTTCATCCGCTCTCACGAGTGGTGATTCTTACCTTCTCCGGCTCAGCCTACGCTACACTGCGTAGGAGTTCTACACCGTTGGAAGATGTAGGAATGTCTGAGATGTTTTAGGCCTAGACCGGTTTCTTGTTTTCCCATTTCGTCATCTTTGTAACGCCGTGCTGAAACACGTTTCATATAAATAGTTCCTGTTCCTTCCTAAAACTTGTGTTGCTTTTCCTATTGTCACAAAGCGTGTTTGTTTCGATAGTTCTATAGCTAACACTATCACTTTAGGTTAGAACTTTATTTCTCTCTCTCTTTATAATGCAATTGTCACAAAGCGTGTTTGTTTCGATAGTTCTATAGCTAACACTATCACTTTAGTTCTCGTGACGCTCTACACTAGGCACCCTCATCTACTCTCTACTAACATACATATAAATGAATGGAAAATATGGGGGCATTATAGAGGGGGGGGAATACTCTCTCTCACCAGAACTACTTATCCGGTTTTCTAAGGCTACCTGAATTTCTGGTGTTGCACACCCTATCCTTGTTTCTGTTTACACTCGTGGTACCAGTGAACGTAGTACCGATTAACTTTATGCCTGACCTATCTTTTCGGGTGGTGGGCGGGTTTGAGAAAAGATAATTGAGCAACCAAAGTGAGAGTGAAATGTGATAGGGAGGATTTCCTAGCGCAAGTGTGGGATATCACGGGGGAAGGAATCTTGGCGCGTGGGGGAGAAGACAGAGAAATTTTCTGTGAGAAGGAGGAAATTTTTCTTCTTCCTACTAAACCTATGTATGCGCCAAGAGGAAGGTTCTCCTCAATATAAGGATAACCTTCCTGACACAGCCCCGTAGGATAACACACTCTTGTCTTGGAAACCAACGGTACCGTCGTGCCTTTGGGTACCGTTTATCATCCACTCTCAGTTTGTGTGATATCTAGGATTGGGAGCTAGACTTTGTTGTTTGGTTTCACGATGCATTACATATTATGCATTTCTGTTGGTCTCTTATTCAGTCCTAGTTAAACCAAACATCCCGTGCCAGAGAGGTTTTGGTTTCTTGGGGGGGGGCCCTCGGTGCCGAGGGGAGTAGGACTACTGGAGACTGTAGATGGGGGAGCTCTTCCCCACGACTCAGGGTATCGTCCTGAGCCTGTGATCACCCATCTACGGTGGCCTGAGGTCGTACATCCCCAACCCAACTCGAATCCCCCCCAAGAGTCTCTCATCTGATCAAAGTAAGAAGTAAGGCAAGATTCACTGAATTAATCCTCCGTGCATTCAAATACAGAAACCAATAACGTGAATTTTTTACTAAGTTTGTTCCGTCCTAATGAGCTCCTGTTCTGTGTATTCTCTTATATACAGCTTGTATGCTTTTGATCGCCATCTTCCCACTGACACGATCTCTTCCAATGGACTATCAAGGTTCCACCTCAGCGAAGCACCGCCCACTCTGAATGAGTGCCCTGTAAGTCCATCATTTGACGTCTTCTTCCACACTTGTTCAAAAATTTTCAGACATCTAGCCTTCGTCAATGTGATCCGACAATCTCCTTTCCGGTAAGAAAACAGGGAGTCATCTTCCGTCGCACCGGTTGCCATGATAAGCCTTTTCACCGCTCCAAGTGGATCTAGTAGTGAGCTTTGATGTTGACAATGGATTTCTTGAACTTTGCCCACAACTGCAGGCTTTGCCTCTCGTATCTTGATTCTCAAGAATTTTTCCATAGGATCCCATATTACGTCTTTTACTAATACTTGATTTTTACTCGACACCGGCTTCAGCAGTTCCCCTAACCTCGCCATACCCCAGAAGGCCACCAGCGCTACAGTGTAGGCTACTTGATTTTCAACTCCTCCACTCAATAACGTATCTAATAAGGTGAACAGATGTTTGATTAAAACTGGATTTTTCGGGATTTTTGGTGTTCTCAACAACTCTAGTTTTGCTGCCGCTTTCAGGATAGCTTCGACTTTTGGAGTAGCGTGATGGGGGTACTCTGCATCATGGAACAGATGCCACGCCTTTACGCCCGACAGGTAAGTCCGTACTGTAGTCGCTTTGATTGGTGGTGCTCCTAAACTCAAAGTACCCTCTGATAACGGTGGACTTGCCCAAACAACGAAACGATACAAGATAGATGGTTTGATCGGTAACAGAAGGTACCGATGTATTCGTTCCTCGAGAGCGAATGCCATCAGTTTAGACACTCTGGCATTATAGTGTCTCAATGTTGATTCCGCCCAACTCCCGCTTAACATGTAAGCTTTCACCTTGTCGTGTGATGTGGTATTGATTCCATCTCGATCTCTCAAGAACTCCATCTTCTGTTAATAAAAAGTTATACTGACGGAAAGTTGACTTAAATTTCTTGGTTTGGGTTGGAGAAATCAGGTTAAAGGAAAAAACAGATGTAACAACGAACGGGGCATTGGAAAGTCAAATGTGTCTTGGTTTGTTTATTTACTCTGGAGGTTGTCTGAAGACTACTCGGACATTCCGAATTTTTGGTTCGGAACCAAACAAAGAACAGAACTTGGACGAATTCAATTTCATAATACAGTTTTAGGCAATACCGCGTATGGTCAGTCTCTGTCACAGTACTTGCTTCACAACCGCCTTTAAATCTGATGGAATCTTGATCACAACTTGCTCTTTGATCGCTCTTGTGTCTAAACCTCTGGACAACAGATCTGCCATATTATCTCCCGACTTCACTCTTTTGACTACCAAATCAGCGTGTAAATTCATGAGCAGCTTTTGGATTTCTTTCCATTCTCCATTTACTGCCCGATCTTTCGAACGTCTCTTCTCTACAGCCGATTGCGAGGTCGTATTATCTGTAAGTACGACTAATTCCTTACCTCCTATATCCAGAATTTTACTGATCATAATCAATCCTAAACGTATCGCCACAGTTTCCGCCCAGGCTATGTTTCGGGTGACCTGGAACGGATAGGGTTTATTCCAACCTTCCACCAACTTAAATTCTGCCCACTTCGACCCAACCAATACTCCGATCCCGGTCAAAGAAGCGTCTCCTACCCACACTAGATCTATTGGGTCTAAATCTGGTATAATTCGTCTGACATCAAAGGTACGTAATGCTTGATCCCATTCTTTCAGATCTCCCAGGACATCCTCTGGCACAACTCTTCTCGCTGAAGGTACTTTCCACTGGTGCTCCCACCTATAGAGTCCTGGCATGCAGCATTGAAGGTGTGGGAGAATATAAGTACAGTGGACTAGTCGTCCCACCAGCTGTTCTACTTCTTCCAACCTAAACGATTCTCCTGGGACTAGAAATTCGGTAACTTGTTTTCTTCTCTCTTCTAGCTTCTCTACTGGTAGTCTGACCGTTCTCTCTTTCACGTTCCAAACAAATCCAATATATCGTTGCTCTTCCGCGAACTCGTGGACCTTTTCGAAACTCGACACGACTCCCATTTCATTACTTAATTCGACGATGTCTTTGATCATAGTGGGATTGTCTTCCGATTTTACCAGGAGATTGTCGTCGACCCATTGAAATGCGGTTTCCAGTCTGAAATACCTCTTCACTATTTCTCGCCACAGATCCGCCGCTCTACCAAAAACTCCGCATCCTGCAACTCCACCAAACTGAATCCTCGTATCCACCCACACACGATTCCTCAAATCCAACATCATCAAGTAACGCCACTGCAAGGGGTGTGTCGCTATCTGGCGATACGCTTTCTCCCAGTCAAAAATGGCGAGTTGTAAGTTGCCTTGATTGTCTTTGAAGAATATGACTAGGACCTTGAAATCATCCCAGTTAGTTTCAAATTCTCTTTTGTTCACAAAGCTGTTCACTGATGGTGTTTCTGAGTCCTCGTGCGGGAAGGACATGTCGTTAATTATTCTAAAGGAACCGTCGCCATTGGTTACACTGCCCATCGGGCTCAATCTGAAGAAACCGAACCTGTTATACACTTCTTCGTGAGTGAACGGGCCGAATATCCTCCTAGCTCTCTTCTCTTTCTCTAGTGTATTTTCTAGCTTCTCTGCTGCTAGGTTCGCGGAATCGTGGTTGGGAGGTGTGTACCATCTTCTCTCACCAAGTGTATGGTCAGGTATCCCTTGATGGAACCCGAGAAGACAACCTCGCAGGACTTCTTCTGCGTCTCCCTTTATTCCCAACGACTTCACCAACGACCTCCATCTTGGCAGATTTAGATCACTCCTAGCTGCTTCCTCCGGCCACCGATTATTGTACGTAGGTCCGGAGTTCCTATATGGCAGTAGCTTAATCGGTGCACTGTTACGCAACTGATTCACTGTGGGTCTAGGTAAACCTCGTGGCACCTTCACTAGGCGACTGGTGATCGGCACAATTCTAAACCAAAGATGGGGGGGCAAATGGTGGGACGTAAACAAAGGTCAGATTTACCGCTCAATTCGACACATCAGTCATGTATTACGAGTCAAGCATGGGGAGAGCGACACAAGACATCAAGTAGACACATGGACATAGGAAGATGATTGAACATAACCAATGGGCTATAAATCAAGAAACAGACTTAAGTCTGGAGGCGTGCCATCATGGCTGTATCGGCCTACTTATGGTAAGACACACTACCACAGAAAAGAAACAGATTTTATGGATATAGTGTTAGGCGGTATCGCATTGGCTTACTTTGCCTCTCCTTTGACATTGAATGGCTTCCTGCCTGAATTATAGTCACGATCGTCATGACGTCTATTGTCTCTGCGGTCATCCCGACGCCAGGATCCACTACCCTATTGCGGTCAGCAAATCGTCTGCCTGGGGGGCTTGGGTCTCTTCCGCCATTTCCTCCTGAGAAATAAGAACCACCTCTTCCTCGACCTCTCGTGTTCCTACCACCACCTCGCCTGTCTTCAAAATATCCGTTCGTTCCATACGAGTTGTCTAGGTTCTGTTGATTGGTGTGGTTCCAGGACCTCGCATTCGGTTTGCTGCCAAGCTGGTGGTTCATGTTCGGGTGGTGATGAGGCATTGAGTTGCTGGTACTCGGGAATCCGAAGTAAGTTCCTGAGTTCTGATGGTTTGCTCTCCCAGTAAGAGGGTTGATATGTTCTTTAATTTGGCCGTTTGCATAGGGGTTAATGTCACTGAAAGCCGGTTGGAAATCTTTCCACCTCTCGGTGTCTCTGAAGGCGTCACGTTCAAACCTTGCAGTACGGAGTGCTGGGTTCGCTAACTTCCCGTCTGCGTTTCTGAAGGTCAACACGGTAAGTCGGATCGCTAGGTCATATCTGAAAGCCATTGGCCAGTTGACGTTCTCGCTCTTGATATCCATAACATGGGCTTTGTGAAGTACGAATTTATTGGCGAGATCGTCATGCTTGTAGTGTCGTAAATAGGCTACGTAGAGGTCAAATGCGATTACCCATTCCCCGAACAACATTTTCCATTTGTCTGGAACATTTACACCAACATAATTGTCATCTAATTTTTCTTTGGTTGTTTGGCGACGGAACAAATCCCTGATAAGGTCGTTTTTGAGCCATTGTAAATTGAAGATTGACAAAGGTATGTAGCCTTTCAACGACACCATCTTTTTGTCAAAATACTTTGACAGACCTACTAAACCCGCTACCTCTATTCCTTCTTCGCCACATTCAGTTATCGGTTCTTTCGTTGATGTGGACGATTCGGTGCTTTTCGTGTTGGAGGTCGCATTAGACGGTTCAGTTGCATTATTGACAGTTTTTGTGCTGGTGGTTGTGGTGGGTTCATCGGTGTCTGAATCATAAGTCAGGTCATTCCAGGCCACGCTTCTCGATCTTGCCCCTGTTGGACGGACTGTTCCGGTAATTACCCCATTAGCGCGTTGAGTATTCTTGGCTCCACTAGTGAGTGCGTTGACTTGGTTATGTACAGTGACTGGGTCGTCGCTGACAGTTGCGTTTGATGACAAATCGACAGGATTCTTCCTTGGCACAACCGCTAGGCCGTTCGCCGCTAACCAAGAAAGGAAACCACAAGGGGGGGGTGATTTCTGAGCCAGTGACCGTATTTCGTCTAGCAGGGGACTTAGACGCTGCATTCGGTGATCAGGATGGGAAAAGGAATGAACCATGGTATGTTAACTTCTGTTAATCATCTTATTCATCTCTATACGAGGCAACATTATATAAATGGCAACACATCGTGTGGCTTCGCTTTCGCGGCAACACTTATCAAGTGGGTCTAAACTGAGGATCTCCGTTTCGAACAGAACTTACGCGTTACTGGAACATTATTGCGGGATATTAAACTGGCGGGTTGCGTATCAATCTGCGTCTCATTGACGGTTGTGGTCGCATTTTGTGAAGCCTGTGGCTGTACTTCAGTCGCACTTGATGTGTTGTTGGCTGTGCTGGTGCGAGTTTCTGTTGCCTCAGTTTGATTGGTCGTATCCTTATTTGCTTCTGCTAGCTGTCTGGCTGCTGTCGCTGCTCTAGTCGTAACTGTCGACATTTTCTTTCCCCGGCCTCTTCCCCGGTTTCTTCCCCCACGAGATGCCGGTGTCACATCATTGGACGTATCCGTGTTGGCGTCGGATGACTCCACCTCTTGAGTGGGTCCATTTGAGACAATTCTAACGTCGGTAGGGTCTGATCCCCGTCTGCTACGAACTCTATCACTTGTCTTCTTTAGTTGCGCGTTAAACTTTTCTAAATTAGTCTCTACTGCGTTTGGGTTGGTCATTTCAGTTAGGAGAATTTAATGAAATTTTAACTGAAGGGGTGAAATTATTTGGGAATGTCGATGTGCCTTCGATGTGACTTTTGAGAAAAGATAATTGAGCGACCAAAGTGAGAGTGAAATGTGATAGGGAGGATTTCCTAGCGCAAGTGTGGGATATCACGGGGGAAGGAATCTTGGCGCGTGGGGGAGAAGACGGAGAAATTTTCTGTGAGAAGGAGGAAATTTTTCTTCTTCCTACTAAACCTATGTATGCACCAAGAGGAAGGTTCTCCTCGATATAAGGATAACCTTCCTGACACAGCCCCGTAGGATAACACACTCTTGTCTTGGAAACCAACGGTACCGTCGTGCCTTTGGGTACCGTTTATCATCCAATAAGTTTTGGGAAAAAATATCTGATTCCAGTGCTCATATTGATCCTCAAAGCTTATCAAAAAGCATCCAAATCAAAAACCGGCTTCAGGTTCCTGCTGAAGCAAAGCTGATTCTTTGATGCTTACACTACGTCAACATGGCACTTGCCAGGCCTGTAGACCTCCAATAGCATTCCGACCAACCAGCGTCAACTCAGACCTGTTTGAATGTCAAGGCCGGCATGGCTCATTAATCACCTAAAATAAATTGGAGTATCAAGAATACCCTTTAGAAATGTTTTGAAGTTGCTGTCAGTGTAACCTAGAATAAGACATATTTACGCTACGTTTGGCTGGTGCATTATATTGCACCTTGAAACAATCATTACGGGGATTCAAGTTGAGATACTTTTGCATAAAACTCTTACAAAACAAACAAGTTTCTAAAACTTTAAGGTGTCTTTGTTTCCTGCAAATATATGGTCAACATCATTTGGGACACCTTTTTGGGTGTCCCAAATTTCTACGTTTGTGGTAAATTTTACAACAACAGGCAAGTTGTTGCACAGTAAAAATACTGTAAAAAACACAACATGAAACCCCCAAATATATGGTTGGCAGCATTTGGGACACCTAAAAAGGTGTCCCAAATTTTTTCATGTTTATGGCAATCTTTACAGTCTCAGACAAGTTGTTGTACTGTGGAAAGACCATAAAAACTTAAGTTGAAACCCCCTATTGCATTGAATCAACTATGCAATATTTTGATCAACTTAAACAGCCAATATTGCACCAATAATGTACACGTCCCCACGCCTAGTATTTGTAATCATTGGGTTTGCGACAAGCCCCGGCCCCGCCGCTGCAGAACCTGAATGATTACGTAAACCACTTGGAGGGGACTGTACATGAAAATAATTGAGTCTGGCAAATGATTGACTCCAGAGTGGATTATTGGATTGAGTCAGGGGCAATTCCGCTCAAATCACCTTGATCAACACCGCAATCGCTACGCTCTGCTCAAGTTTTTGAACTATTTTGGGAGCGGAGCGGAGCGCTGTGCTAAATTGCACTACGCACAGAATCACTCTTTTGATTGTTTTTTCTTACTTCCGTGTGCGTAGTGGTTTCACCACTACGCACATTGCTATGAGCGGCGCACATTGCCCCATTTTTGAAAACAAGATAAATGTGACAAAAAAAAATAAAAGCATAGATATATATATCTATGCACAACATAATGTAAGACAAAGAGAATAAAGTTTGACTTAATAAAAACCCTACGACTTCTTTTTTCTGAGCTATCTTTTTTTTACCGTGCTATCCTTTTTTTTCTTGCTATCAATAAAAGCTTGAAGTACCTTCATGGCTTCTTCAAAATCTCCCCCTGGGACTAAAACACCAAGAAACTAAAAAGCGAAGACAAGACCTGAAATCAAAAATGAAAACAAGAACTTTTAGTCACAGTGCCTGTGAAGGGCGCCCTAGACGTCGGGGGCCTTCAAGAGTACAAAGGCAAGCCTTTGTACTTGTTGGAGCCCCCAACGTCGGGGGCTCTCTCCACGGGCACTGTGAGTTGGTATAATACGAATGAACTAGAAAGAAGAAACAGAACTTACTCGCGGCAAAAGGACTACAATGAAATAGATTGATTTGAAATACGAAAGCGAGTGGAAAGAATCTATCAAATCGATCTAGATAGTCTTAGAAGGTGCCAAGCAAGAAGACAAGAAGAAAGAAAGAGAACAGTTTAGCTAGTAACACGAAAATGGAAGAATGGGATGAAAAGAGAAAGCACTTACGTTAGAAGCATAAGAAATTGATTGTTTGGTAATAGGACCTCAAACAAATATCAACACGGCCGTGAACAAGTTAAGAGAAACTGAGGTGTGCTAAGAGCAAGAGGAATCAAATAAACAGAAGGAATTTAGTATATGAATCATACACAAATAAAGAGAAGGTAGTTAGCATACAAATAATATACAAATCCACAATGAGAAAAAGAAGAGAAGAATAAGGATTAAAAAACTTACATGTGTTAGTCTGTGTCCGTCATCGAGTCTTTTTTTCGAGTTCATTGTGTTCAAGTTTTTGAGTGTTTTTTGAGTGTTTTTTGAGTGTTATCATTGAGTTCTGAGTTTTTTTTGGAAGCGTTTATTCAAGCGTTTTATTGAGTGTGAAGTCTTTGAGTGCTCCGCTCATGAGCTGAGCAACTTGGGTCTGGGCCCGGTGCATAGTGATTTGCTCCGCTCAGGGGATTTCAGCCCCTGGGTGCGCTGCGCAGGCTGCGCTCAGCAGAGTAAGGGCTGTAGCGGAGGCCAAAATTGCTCCGCACACGCTCTTTTGTGCGGAGCAGTTGCAGTGTTGCCTTGATCACACCCCAAATTGAGTTTTTAACCTCACTCATGAGTCATTGGTCTTAAACCTTGTCTGGTTACACCACTTTCCCACTTCCCTAAAATCATCCATCTAAAGTCATCTAGCCACAGTACTACCATCTTCTTCATCTGGCCTCCAAAGCTTTTTCAAATCTTGTAAACAAACTAGACATTCATATCCCAAATTATAGCCTTTTTGAAGTTTGAGACACTTATGAGTAGTGATTGAGTGGGGCAGCCCAGATATCAAATCCGCTGGTGAATTTAACAAGTCTTCAAGCAGGATTTGTCCAAGTACAGCGTGGACATCTAAAAACAATCTTCCCAAGGAGCTGTATTAGGGGCTATTGGGGGGGCTAACATGCTGTATCTGTGTAACAGGGACAAAATACCCATGTTAAGTAATCAGGGTTTTTGGACCTAGGAGTGAGCTTTTATGATAGGGCAAAGGGAAAAATCATGAAGATCTTCCTGAATATCTTAGGTTTTAGGCAAAGACAGTGAAATGGCATATACAATGAGCTGTGTAACACAACAAGTGAAGTTCAAATGCAGATTTCCAATTTTTAAAGCGTAAAACAAGAGAGAAAAAGATATGAACCAGAATCTGAATGATAACAAGAAAAAGTAAACTTTAAAAGATGATACAGATTTTCTGACTGGGGAATTATTACAACTGGGAATAGTTCTTTCTATTTATAATAACTTTGCTTTGTGATACAAAATGTAAATGGCTGAGTTAGAAGTTACAAAATGAACGGCACTAATGCCTGGTACCTGGGTTTCATCTAGACCCTTTCAGTATACCTTTTTCATAATGAAATGGTCTAGGAGACTAGTCTGAGATGCCTAGGACCTTATTCCTTAAGGGCATGTTTCAGCCTAGACTTGGGCCGTGTACCCCGCTACAACCATCCCCCCTTTAACTTGGTGCTACACCTGGAGTACCAAAAAAGAGAAAGAACATTTTTAGAGGGAGAGAAGTAAAAATTATGACTTCTGTGAAATAGGTAGGCAAACTCTTGAAGAACATCAAAGAGTTGAGCCAGGATTAGTCGCATGTGGAAGCAAAAGTTCCTTGGGTGGAACAGTTGGGGTAGAAGTTTGAACCGGAGGTTCAACACCAAATTGAGGGCTAGGGTTGGCCAAGGAATGGGTTGCTGAGGTAGCCTTGGCAAAACAACCCACCACACCACAAGGTCATTTTTGGTTGAAAATCTGCTGTCACGGGGTTGTGGAAGTATACCAGTGAGACCTGGTTGCAACACGGGCAGGTACCAATGTGCACTGTATTTTTCACAAACAAGGGCAAAGACGTGATCACGAACAACATTCCCACTGGTTTACTAAATCAGCGGATGAGTTGATGTTGAACAATTGCTTCACCGCTGTTGCCAGTGGGCAAAGCCACAGGCCTTGCAAATTCCCCTTGATCAGATGATGAAGATTCCTTGCTCTCCTCATCCATTGTAATCACTCTCAAACTGCTGGCATTGTCATTGACAGTGGCCTTAGAAGGTCCCTGGATCAGAAGATGAAGGGTTCTTTTCTCTTCTTATTCAGTGTAATCACCTCACCACTCAAACTGCTCGCAATGTCACCTGCCACAACACCCAAAATCATGACATCTTCAGACACTCCGTCAGCAATGAGAGATCAATGTAAATTGTCTTTTCAATGCCTTTGCCTCTTCTTACCGCAGACTGATCTCAAATTTGAAAAAGGCTTTGTTGATTGTCCACACCAAGCAATCAATGGCAAGGTTCTTTTCACTTGTTCTGCTTGTCCCGGCGGCAGGACAATGAAGTACGGCCCAATTCGGAAGCATTGAGGCAGACCAGTTCACATCAAGCATTTTAATCAATGGCTTGTGCGCAAGAAGGTAATCAGAACAGCCAAACATGCTTCCAATCATGCACCTAAGAAGTAAGCTCTACTCAAAAGAGCTTTAGAGAATGGAGTCAAGAGATCCCATATTCTTGTAATGTGTTAAAGGTGGATTGAGTACTTGTGTTGTGATTTCTTTGACATTATCCACCTCACCATTTGGGGAAAAGAAAGTTGAAGCTTTCTTTCCATTTATCAAACCTTGTCAGGTTTTCTTTTCGTCTATATCTTTTCAGACTTGTCAGCTCCTTGTCAACAATTCTCATATTCTTTTATTTTGTTAAAGGTTTCCTTTTTGTCTTGATCTCTTCAAATCTTGTCAAGTCACTGTTGAGAGATCTCATATTCTTTTGTTTTGTTAAAGACTTCAACACAGATCTCATGTCATCATTGAGGCTCATCTCCATTAGATTATTTTATCAATGCCTGCCAGCTTTGAACCAAAATTGGGTTTTTGACAATATATGCACTGTTGTTGTAAAAAATAAAGGAAAATTGCAAATTGTTTTGAATGCACTTTAGAATTCAATCATTCTTTTGCAATATGTTTCTGACTCCTTCCAGTGTCCTTACCAGTTTCTGTTTTCTTACTTTTATAAACTCAAGGGCAAATTTGCATCCTGGTGTAGTGAATCATGATGAATTCACACAATTGAAATCTTAGCCCAATTATGGGGAGATCTCTGACTAAGACTTGATGATTAAATATACAAATATTTGCAACTTGGAAATGATCACTGTGATACAAGCTTTTTGTGATGAGATACAATGTGTTATGTACAGATTTGAGACCCCAGCCTGTCTCAAAACCTTTTCTTCTTTTGGTGTATTGAGGTACCGCAAAAAGTGGCTTTTTTACATGAGCCACCTCCATAGTAAAGTTGGCAAAAACCATGTGCTTGCGCCCTCCCAAGCTGTGCACAGTTTACCTTCATAGGGCTATTCCATGTTCCTATCAGGGGATATCATTCCCCACAAAAACTCCCTTGTCTCCAGAACAAACTGAAAGTTGTCATAATCATATTTGAAATCAGGACTCTTCAATGTGAGACATGAACTTGAAGCTGATGGTAGACTTACAAACCACATTTGTCAAAAGTTTACACTTAATCTTGGTGTACTGATCCTTATCACGGGTGGCCCCCTTTTTGGTCAAGAGATCACACACTTGATGGTGGAAATAAATGAGAAATTTGATTGTTAGATATCAAGCAAGATACATACTACCTATAGCTGCATGTATTACTTGAGCTTACTGTATGAAGTTACTTCATTCACCCTGCGCACTCCTGATGCCCTCCAAGTTGGACAAATTCCGTTGGGAAACTGATTGGAATCGCATTGTGAGCCTTGAGGGACGCCATTAGCTGTAAGCCAGTTAGCATCAGTGGTGCTCATCAAGATTGGCCACCTGAAAAGATTTTCTGACAATTACTTACGTTGTAGTTGAGGTTTGCAGTCCGCACTTGGATATTTATATGTGTCGCGTACATCCCTGCAGTCTGGAAAGGCACAACCCAACAGTCTTTAACTAAGTTCATGGACCCTTTCAGAAATATTCTGCTTACACGAATGCGCTGGATCATTAGGAACACGCACAAAAGCCCATTTACAGGACTTGTTGGACATGCCCTTCCCAAATAAAGTCAAAAGAGCAAAGATAACGAGGATGTAGATGCGAGAAATCATATTAAAAAGTGTATTAACCTTTGAGTACGATGTGTAAGGCTGATGGAGGATGGAAGTAATCATGACTTTCAAAAAGCTTGGTGGTGTGCTTAAATACCGTCTAGAGCTATATCGATGACAGGCCGAGGAGAGATACCGGCGATGTAAACTTAGCCGTGTTCGAAGCAGTCCCTTGACACGCCAGACGTTGACAACAGGGACTTCTCAATTTTAGTCATAGGTCTGTCGGGGAGGACTGGGAACAACGTACTTATCACTTCGGTGAGTTCGTTGGATGCGAGCAACGTTTTTGAAACCAGTCTTGCTCTTACGCTATTAGCCGAACTCATCCAATATCACTGTCAGTATTGACACCCAGCACAACCAAAATTTATGGGACTCCCGTTGATAGAGACGCATACTGCAGATGATATCGACATAGTTGATATTGATGTCAGTTTCCGTGGAGATCCTTAACAATCGAACTTCGAAGGAAGCAAGAGATCAGATGTTGCAAAAATGCACCACGTGCGACCGGAAAGATCTCCTGTAAAGAAGGGCTGCAGATTCTGAAGGGCACAGCCCTTGATTTTGAGTCCCATCCAGGAAAAACCATAATTTGCATCTGCTTGAGGTTCAAACAAAATGATGATAAAATCCTACCTTCCAGGAAGTCTTGGTGGCCAGTTTTGGGATAAGGTGAGAAAGCAAGCACTGATCTGAGCGGCAGCAGTGCTAAAAGCCACAGTCTCAGGCGTTGACTGGACCATCATCTAAAATTCATTAATTAGCTCCTCTGCACCAATTGTATTGTAAGTCTTCCTTATCACCTACCATCGTGAGCCTGAACTGAATAAAACTTTTTTTCACCTTCTGTTTTATCAGCTGCCTTCATGACATATTGAAGGTCCTTCAATCACCAAAGCAATGTGGCAAAGATGGGTTGATCATCTTAATCAAGCCAATCTTAAATATAAGAAAGAGCTATGACTCACAAAATCTCAATTATGATTCATCATATGCTTATTTATTTTTCTTTTCATTCCCTTTTAACTCATGGATACACTCATCACACAATTCACAAATCAATAAAAAAATCAACAAAACCAAAAAAAAATAACAACAAAAGAAACCAATAAAAGAAAAAGAAAAAAGGTTAAAATACCTTTATTCTACTTTACTTTAAAAACCCTAATTATCAAGTTTACTTAATATATCCCAAAATACAAAAAGAAAAAAATGTAAAACAAGAGAGAAATAGAGAGAGAGAGAAAAGACTAGTACTTACTACATGAAGAGTTTACGATTCCTAAATAATGAAACTTTTGAAAAAAAATTACAAAAACACACACACATACCCAGTATCATAAATATCTTAAAACAAAAAACAAAAAACAAACAAGCTACAAACTTTCCTACATCATTAATCATTTAAAGATGAAAAAAACTAAAAAAGATAATCAAGTCGAAAAAGTTTCCACTGAATTTAACTTTCTAATCCCAGTTAATTTTCCAAACAAATCTCGATTGGTACCCAAATTATGATGATTCGAATTCAAAAGAGTTCCATTGGATCTTCTGGTGATCAATTCTTCTTGATTCTTCTTCTCTTCAAGCTTTCTAAACCTTGGTTTATCAACCAAAGAAGGATGATCTTCTGCTGATCTAAGTAATCTTTGAATAGCATTCCCATGTTGTTGTAATGCTGCTGATCTTGATAATCTCTTGTTTGACTCATTGGCTTTAGATGGAGAAGAATCTGATGGATGTTCTGAGTTCATCTTGATAGAGTCTACAGCTTTTTTAGATTTTGATTGATCTACTCTTGAGCTCTTGGGGCTTTCTCTTTCAACTGCCTTCAAATGTGATTGATTCGTCATCGTCGGTTTTTCTCCAGTTGGTTTTGAATTTGTTGTGCCTTTGTTTGACGGAGGAGAAAGAATCTGTTTGGGCACTGTTGGACTGGCTGCTCCAGAGCGTTTTTGTCTCCTTGGCTGACGTCTACGTTGGTTCGGACTAAGTGTTTGAGCTGCTTCACTTGGTTTTGTGTCTAGACTGGAGCTCTGATCGGGTGAAAGTAACAAAGAAGTGATTGATTTTTTCTGTTGCTCAGAGAAAAATCGACGGCCAGTTGAAGGATCAGCTGATTTTGCCTGCCGTAGTTCAGCGCTTGGTTTTGTGAGCAAAGATCGATCGGAATTCGATGTACTCTGACTTTCATACTTTGATCGACATTCCTCGTTTTCAATTTGTGTTGACTGTTGGAGAGAAGAAACAAAGGAGATCAGTACCTTGAATAACTTTTTCTGAATGAAAACTTGTAAAGGCAACGAACATCACCAGTCTGAGGACGTGGCAATGTGGTAGCAGTGCACTCAGAGGCCCATTCCGTCAAATCTGGAAGTTCATCAGCTCCTTCCGATGATTCGAAATCGTCAACCAGACGCGCCCAATCCAGTTTGGAGCTAAACAGACTCGAGGCAGGAGTGTGAGTCGCAGTAGTAGGAGAATGTGTGGGAAGCTTGTTTGATGATTTGGATGCCGTGATGGTGTCCACCCGAAGTCGAGGTGGAGTCAAGGACTTTGAAAGAGATGGTTCAGGCGGGTTTGGGCTGCCTGTTAGGAGGAAAGAAGGGTTTGCTTTGACAGTGGTAACCGGAGTTCCAGCTGGATGAGATTCGAGAGGAGTAGTGATCAATGGTTCAACTGATTGAGATTTGATCATGTTGATTGGGGGTTCGATTGATTGAGATTCAATAATGGTTGCAGTGGATTCATCTGATTGACCTTCGACAATTGTTATAGTGGGTTCAGCTGAATCAGTTTCTGCAGTGATAATCGAGGGTTGAATCGATTGAGATTCGAGAATGGTGATTGGCGGTTCCACTGATTGAGGTTCGGGAATGGGAATTGGGGATTCAAGTGATTGTGCTTGAATGATATCTGGAGTGGAATGGATTTTTGGTTTGATGACTGATGAAGGAAGATCAGCAGTATTTGAAGACGTCGAAATGTGACCCGTTGAAACATTAGTCATGCTACGTGCTTGTGTTGGTGGAGGACGCGGTCGAGGTGATTTTTGTTTGAGTCGATTTAGTAATGATTCAATTTGATGTAGACTGCGAGAATTGGGTACAAGGGTCTTAAGTTGAGCTGATTCGGATGTCTGTATTGAGACATGACGAGGATCATGTATAGATTGGCCTGAGCGAGGCAGCCTTTGATGACGTAAGGGAAGTTGCTGCTGATGCGATGATGAGGGTGAAGGTGTGATGATTGATGAAGCTCGTTGTTGAGATAAAGTTGACGGTATAGTCGAATTAGGTGATGAATGTTTAGAAGATGATGAAGATGACGAGATGATAGTAGGAGATGGTGAGAACGGTGAGGTTGATTTTTTGTTGATCGGTTTTGAGTATGATGCTTGATTGTGGTTTGGAGTAGCCCATTTTGAAGCAGAGAGTGGTAAATGAGGTTTGGTTTGATTTGCTGCTGAAGTTGAGATCGATGAAGTGGTGATAGTCATGATGAGATTGGTTGATTTGAAAGATGATAAAGTGGTAGTTTGATTGATCAAGAAGGTATTTTGCTATTCCAATTGAATAATGATAATCGATTCCTTGAAAAGTGAGTGAGATGAATGTTGATGGATTGGAAATAAAATTTAAAGTGTCAATCAATAGAAGTTGAAGTTGAGTCAGAGTAAAGTGGGAATCAGTCTGGATTCTGGAACAGCGCATACACTTTATACAAAACAAAAAAGGGTCTTATACACTCACATAAGCATATTCTCAAGTCAAGAATATCCTTATACCGAGTTCAAATCAAAATTTGCCTTCGTATCCACAACATCTTCCAGCTTTCTTAATTGAATTGATCATCCCTCCCTGAATTTTAATCAATCAAACAACAGCCATCTTATCAAATCAGTGGGCTTTGTAGAGTTTCAATGAGAAATTTGAATAACTACCAAACATATCTCAATTTAAATTAATTGAAAAGCCCTATCTTCACCCTGCATTGCCACATATCAGATCAAAGGGCAAGACATACCACTAAGTTTTGATAATGGCCGTTGTGACCGAGGCAAAATCATGAAGGATTTGGACGCTGATTGCCATCATAAACCACGGGAGTTTCAGTTCAATTACAAAAGTCAAACTTCAATTGATTATTAGTTGATAATGAGACCAGCGATGGATTGGGTGTCAGCAAGGGCGACATTCTGTCCATGATAGCTGGAACTCGGCCTGATCGAAGGTTGGCTGTGAGTCTTGGAGAGAATTGGCGTGGCGTAAACAATTGCCCGAAAAGACAAAAGTAAATGATCAAAGTGGCCGTAATCCGTATGTCAGCAAGAATAAAAGTGAGAAAGGGTTTCCGAGCTATACTGATCCTCATGGACGTTCGAATGAAGTTCATCTTCTTATACGAAATAATTTGACAAACTTCAAGATGTGAATGGCTCACCTTGTCTCCTTAACTCACGTAATCATGTGCCTTTTGTCAAGCACATCATAGACGGGCGACACTGCCTTACCGCACCTGTGGTTTTACTTCGTTTCGAATCTTGACACTGAAATCTCTGTGTTGTAAATAGTCGAAGTTCCTATGTGAGTGCCTGTCAAGAATCCTGTTGTTCAGGAGCAAAGACGAAAAAAAAGAAATCAAAGTCGAATCGAAAAGGTTGGATTCGAGTAACGGTTTTTACGGTTTTTGAACGATTCGTCAGGACATGAAGTGTCCGAAGTGATGATTGTCCAGAACTTTTGTCAGATCTTGCCAGAATCCATGACGCATTGGAGTCAACAGAGGAGGTTGTGAAAGGCCACATGAATTTTCATGTCGGTTTCTATCTTTCAACCAAAACCGTGCATTTCATAAACTATGAACTCACCTTAATCTTATATACACTTCACTCTTCATGAATTTTTGCCTCCGAGCAGTCTTCTTGAACAGACGGTTTTGATCTAGATTTGTTTTTTTGTGTACCGGTTATCTGAAGAATTGAATAAACCATCGAGTTGACTATTTGTAAGCAAACTGATGTTTCTAACACGAGAAAGAATTTACCATCTGGTAATTTGATAGCAAAAGTCTCTTGAGTGTTTTTACCTTTCACATAATCAAACCACACCAAAGAGGAACTCAATTTTTCTCTTCAACCAATCAATTACTCATTAAAACATCTTCAAACCTTGCCTTGCTGAAGTTCATGTACAACCTGAGATGCCTTTATACTTTTCTCTGTCATCACAAAGCGGTCAGCAAGTGCCCTTGTGCTGGTTTTTTTGAAGACGGCAGTCTCAGACAACTTCTACACCACGGGGCTGCTGGCACGTGATGCTCACGTGAATTTTGACTCTGCATGCTGTCTACATCGTCATACCCAATGTGAGCCACACATGCTAGCCAGTGTGAGGTTCACCCAATCTGACCCTTATCATAACAAGGTGAGCATCTGACATCATAACAAGGTGGAATGACTCACACAGTGACAAGGTGAGTTATCAAAAATGACAACGGTGCGGGCTTGATCACCCAATGACAGGTTGAGTAATTCCCCTCAGTGCTCATTCCGCCTTATTTGTTCTCAATAGCCAGCCCACTTGAATTGAGATGGGCAGTTTTTTTGCTGACAGAATTTTGCATAACGGAATTAATCTACTGTTTGCATTGGCAAATACTCTCAAATACTGCATACATATATCAAGCTGATACAAAAGATAAGATTGGAAGAGTACAGCCAAAAAATAGAGAGAGAAAGACTCAAATAGAATAAAATAGATCCAAAGGTGATGGGGATCTTTGTATATCAAAGGAATTGATGATGTAGATATGACTGAATGTGAGACATGAAGCCAAATAGATGTATGTATTACTTGCCTAATATGTACAGGTGATCAAGCCAGTGATTGAGCAATCTATGGACAAGGGAGAGTCAGATAAAAAGGGAGAGTTGAATAAAAAGCTGTTGCAAGAAATCAGTAAATTTGAATCGTGAAGTTAAGATGTTTGAGAACAAGAACATCTCACTTGATCTATTGAGTTTTCATAGATTGTTACTTTGAAAGAAAGGAGCTTGTCTTGAGTGTATCCGTTTTGTTGAATGATTTTATTTGTTTTACTATAGCTGATTTTACTGACTCACCTGATCCAATAGAATTGAGAAAGAATGGTAAATTTTGATTGGTTCATTGTATTTTGAATTGTGTGATCATTTATTGAACTTCAGAAAAATTGGCTTTGAAGTAGCATGATGAAGTTTTATTGTTTAAGTTCTTTTGAAATTCCTATTTCCATTCGGCTCAATCTATTCTTCATTGCTTTCATTTTGATTGTGTCAGAGTTGATTCAGTGGATAGAGATAAAGAAGAACAAACAAATTACCTGATTAAAGAATTTTTGAACTTTGTTGCATCTTTGTCTAGAGGTGGAGTAAAGAGTGATCAAACACAGGATATTTTCAAAGCTGTCAATCTGTGGATCATCAAAGTACAATGTCATCAGCACAAAGAACAAGATAGGAAGGACCAAGGATGATCAAATCAAAATGAGTCTTTGAAGAAGAGAAACAGAGGGAAACTTACAATAATATAAGTGAAATGATATTGTTAAAGGAAAATAAAGGGCATCACTGAATATGATAGGATAAAAAGAAAATCAAACAGAAAAGATTGATGTGAAGGACAGCCAAATTTACCATGATGTTACCAAGTTTGTTCTTGCAATCTATTACATTAATGTGGTGCAGTTGATGAACCTCGCTATTGAATATGCGAGAGTGAGGCTTCTTGTGATCAATCAACGTGTTGACGTTTGAGGGGGTCATGTGCAGAACGACTTAGAAGAACAACGGTGGTGTTGGTGGTTGGGTCCGCATGGGACTTATGTTAAGTTCGGAATCTGGATGGTCAATGGGATTTGGAGAAGTAACAACCTGTGACGTCACTGTCCCTCAAAAAAATAAAAAAAATAAAAATGAAAACCAAAAAATTCTAAAGTACAAATCTCGCTGGGTTCTCAAGAATTCGAGTCATCCAAGCTGATTCAGGTGCTGAGCACCTGGCTGACAAGTCCCGCTCACCCACATCAGCTCACCCGCTAAAAGGCTGGTACATCACATTAGTGTAACGTGATCTATGTGATCTCGCTGCTCACAGCGAGCTTATGTGTAGAACGGGTGACAGGCTTGGGTGAGGGCCACGTAGCCGCGCGGTCACACTGCTGCCACCTGTTCTACACAACCACTTGGCGTGGTCATACCCAACTTACATTTCACGTGGTCCCAGTTCAAAGTAGCCCCGTGGTGTACTAGTTACACATTGGTATATTATCCCTTTTTAAGTGTTGTAAAGCTCTTGTTGAGCTTTAAATACTACAATGCTCCACCAGTGCTTCCTCTTTGAGAATTTGTGGGTAGTGGAGTGTGTATCTAGTGGTGCATCATCATATGTCAGCCCTGAGTACATATACATGTACCCAAAACTAACATATAATATAAAAACATCATATAGAAAACTAATTACATATACATACAGTTAGTAAACAGTATGTAACGTGTAACAAATTATATAAAAATACCAATTACATATACAAGAACACTTGAAACAACATGTAATATGTAATAACATATCAACTACACCTCGTAACTCAGTGTCAAGAGTTAATATATTTATAGTACATACCAAGTACTTAATATTACTATGTGTAATTAAGTACAAACAATATAATCAATAATCAGTAATGATCCCTAAACCATTGTAGTGATAAAAACAAATATCACTACAATTAGGTTTAGAGAGGAGAGTATATAAACCCCTCCTCTCTCAGCCTTCAGGGATTTTGCCCCAAGCTTTATTACACACTACTTTTAAGAACAAATTAAAGTTCTACTGAAGTAACATCAAGAGTCTTATAAATATAAGACTAGTGATATCTTCATTACTTTAATCTGTTCCCTGATTAAAAGTAAGTAATACTCTTCACCTTCTCTGGTGCCTCTACTTCCCCTAGGTAGAACTCTCATAGGTTGGTGACCATATAACAACCCAAGGTTGGTGACCATAGAACAACCCAGGTTGGTGACCATAGAATAACCCAAGGTTGGTGACCATAAGAACAACCCAAGGTTAGTGACCATAGAACAACTAGTCTAGTGAACTTTACATCACTCTTTAATCTGTCAACTTGAAGATTAAAGGAAGGACTAGGATCCATCCTTCACTATTAACAATTGTACTACATTATCTTCCTTTCCTCATCCCTTTCTTTGTCTTTAATTCTTTGTAAATACTTTTATAATTGCAATATAAATCTATCTACTTGAATTATAAGATCCATTTTGCCCCATTAGTGAGCCCTGAGTACTCAAGAAAGTACCCAACCCTCACATCATATCTGGCAGTGTCATTAGCTTTGAGCTGCTCTGGGACAAATGTTTAGCAAACCTGATCTGAGATATTCTATATCCACTTTTTGACCATCTTATGCTTTAATATGAGCTGCATATAGTAGCAAGAAAATTGGTGAGATCAAGTCAAAGAGTATTGTACAGTAGCTGCATCAAAGTTCACCAATGAAGACCAAGCCTGACCAAGATTTCTTTACAGTCTTCTCTATTGGATTGACCTTGATATGGCCAGCCACTAAGCACATCATGGTCTCACCCCTGTGTTTGTAAATCATGATCCACAAACACACCAATAGTAAGGTCTGTTATATGGGCAATCATTTCTAACCTTGATTCAGTACATTGCACAGGAGAGCCCTGAAGATGTGGAACTGTTTGATTCATTGAACTTGACTTGTTTTCAGGGCGCGTTCACATAAGCAATTTCTGGTGAGAAACCACATTCTGCAAAATTTAAAGTGTCTATTTGGTGGTGCATGTTTCATTTTTGCATGAAAAATTTTCAGAACATGGTTTCTGGTCAGATATTTGTTAAGTGAACACACCCTCAATGAATCAGGGCATTACAAGTCAAAATCAAAAATTTGGGTGAATGAGGGGCAGATGTCAAATTAGCAAATGAAAAGTCAATCCCAAGTAAACAACAAGCAACTCTCAAGAGATACAATCAACTTTAACAACTACCAATATCAGGGATAAGTTTGAGGCAGGGTGCAGCAATGATCTTCTTTCTTTTCACCCTATGTCTCTTTGATAGGCTGTGTTTCTTTGTTTCCTTGTGTTTGGCTGCTTGTGTACCTATTGTTGTTATTGAAGACAAAGACTGTGAATAGGGGTTGGGCAAAAAACCAACCAACCAGTTTCCAAACACCGTTCAATCAAAGTTCAATCAAAGTTCAATCAAAGTTCAAATTTTTGGGAATACTTTCAAGATGGCTCAGAATTAATATCAAAGCCACTACGAACCAACCAACATTTTTATCTGTCTTTTTGCTTTCCAAAGATGTTGACCAGTATGATTTGTTTTGTGATCACGCCCACACTTTAACCATTCAAAAGCTCTTACAGGGAAAGCAATTTGTGGTGCCACAAGCCTCGCAAACACCCTTTTTGCACCTTTTAAAGATCCGTGAAAGTTGCAAAAACTTACCTGAGTTCTTCAAGCTGAGCTATTGGTGGGGCTGGAGGAGAAAAATCAGACCCAAAGACTGACTTTGGGTCTTTTTGGGTAACCTGGCACAGCAAAGGGTCTGTGAAACCTGCACCCAGTTGATTTTGGCCATCTTTGGCTGTTTTTGACTTGATTCTCAAGGGTGCAAAACCGGTTGGTCAGTTTTTTGCCCAACCCCTAACATGTAGTTAATCCTGCCCGCTGCAAGGCCTGTATGAGGTGGTGGGGCGCAAGCGGGTTATTGCTGAACTCCTTTGGGCATGTAGCAGTTTAGTCCCAATGGTGGAGCAAGAACGGCTTGGGTACACTAGAGCAGGTTTGTGCACCACTACACAAAAAAATAGCGGATTGAAGCGGAGTACTTCAGGTGTTGGTACCACAACATCAAATCTAAGCATGGTTGTCTTGTGCCATTGTCCAAACAAACCATAAACACAGATCTTTTCTTATGGCTTTCACCTACAACTTGTATTCTAATTAGAATCATATCAAAACAAATAAAAAACGTCTCTGCTTTCACAAACACAACTTGTGCCTGAGGGCTTCAACATATCAGACTTTGTTATGGTCAGAAACAACACAAAACCCCAAGGCACATATTCATTGCACCACAGGGCACACCTCTTTTCTGCACATATTATAAGCATTGTCTCAAATGTGAAATATGTGGATTTGACTATTTTCAGGCAGTCATTTTCTCATCTTTTTCAATCTTTGAAAGGAATGAGCAGAAAACCAAGCCCAGTCTTGTGTGTCGACATATAATCTAATCTCAATTAACTAAAAAACAGATATGTGAACGGGAACCACTGTGGGTGCTCTTACTATCTGCAATTTATTTTACATTTGACTCCAATGGTGTGCCAGTGCTATGCCACATAGGGGCATCTTAGCGAACTTCACACAGAACTTCTCAAGCTTTGATGAAGAAAGGGTAGATAAATATCATCTGTACCACTGTATTTCAGTTTTGATTTCTCCAGCCAATTCAAAGATTGTCCATTGCCATCGTACTCAGTGTGTTAGGATTGGTATACATACATAGATAATAAGATACATCATCAAGATATCTATCAAGCCAGCATGACAATAAGTTTTGGTGCGTCTTTTTTAAAAAATACAAGCAACATGACAACAGGGGAACTCCTGGAATCAAGTCTCAATTTTTATCAGTCTCTACAGGCGACTGTTATGACCTGTCACGCGTGTTACATGTAGAGTTCATACTAGTCTTGTCTCCCGTTGTACATATTGCTTTTCCTCACTTAGCAATCTACTATATTCACGAGACCACCCTTAAAGCTTCTCTTGCATCTCCCTCTCGAAGCTACAACATATTGCTAAGTCTCATCAAAAGAGATCCAAGAGAAGAATCACCAAAAGTAAGAAGAAATCAAAACGAACGATTAAGAAGAAAGTTAAAAGAAGTTAAGAAGAAAGATTTTCAAAGTTAATAAAGTTAAATTAAAGTATAAACTTAATCTGCACTCCGCAAGCAAAGTTAGAAGAAAGTTGATTACTCAGTATTACCACAGAAGTAACATTTAAAGAAGATAACTTATACCCCGCATAATCTCGAACACCACTGCATCCTTCCAAAACGCCAAACTTTAAGCTTCCCTCTAACTCAACGGACTCGGAGTCATCGGAAAAAGAATTCTACGAGACAGAAGAGACCGCAATGAATCCAGAACACGAACAGCCCTCTATGGCCGAGATTTTACGGCAAATGAGAGAATTAAACACTCAATTCTTAGAGGTCAAAGCAAGCTTAGCTGAAGAATCGCAGAAACGAGAAGAAGCTGAGAGAAGAAGTGACGAAGCAGAACAACGACTACGTCAATTTGAAACAACCCGCACTACCTCCACTCAACTACCTCACAGCTCCGCCCCGATCGCTCAGACCTCTGTTCCGCAAACGATTAGTCAAATAAAGCCTCCTAAGATCGCCACTCCGAATAAATATGATGGTACTAAAGGACAGAAAGCCGAAGTTTATGTTAATCAGGTCTGCTTATATATGCAAATGAATGCTGCTGCATTTGTGAACGAACAAGCTCAAGTTGCGTTCGCGTTATCTTACCTTGATGGGAAAGCCAGTATTTGGAGCCAAAATTTTACCAATCAACTACTCGACCAAGATAAAATGAAACAAGTTACTTGGAAAAAATTCATTGAATCATTTAAAGCGACGTTCTTTGACTCTGAAAGATTGGCTAAAGCAGAAAAAGAAATGAGGGCGTTAACTCAAACAAAGGCAGTGGTAGATTATTGGATTAAGTTTTCGGAATTAGCGTTGATAGTTAAATGGCCTGAGAATGTATTACTATCTCAATTTAAGCAAGGATTAAAGAAAGAAATCACGGTGCATATGGTACGGGACGAATTCAAGGAAGTTGAAGAAATGGCAAAGTTAGCTATTAAACTTGATAATGAAATTAATAAAAGAGACTCCAACACGCACCACCCAATTGTTTCGACCAACACAACTTCAACCTCAACCACTATTACTGATCCAGATGCAATGGATTGTTCGGCTTATCGTGTTAACATATCAAATGAGGAGTATAACAAGAGAGGAGCAATGGGAATGTGTTATAGTTGTGGTAAAGATGATCATTTTATTAGAGACTGTCCAACTAGAAAAAGACGTGGAGGTAGAGGAGGTTGGAGAGGTAGAGGAGGATATGGAGGTTATGGGAAATTCAAAAGTAAAGTTGCTGAAGTGGATGGTGTCAAGGAAGAAGAGAAGGACGATGGAAGAGCTGAAGCCTCAAAAAATGGAGGCGCTCGGGAGTGCTAGTGGTGCCACACTCGAGCGGTAATTACTTAACTGAAGATTGTAGTAGCTTAAATTCACTTGAAATAAAAGATACGCAAATCATTGATTTTGTTACTATTTTCGAAGTTAAGAGTGCCACCCCCATTGTTGCGAGAGCCTTAGTAGACAGCGGTGCTACACATGAAGCAATGAGCCACCGGTTTGTCTCTGCCAACAAGTTCAAGACGGACCCATTACCTCAAACCAGAAGTGTAACTGGTTTTAGTGGTCACGAGTCAAGAATCACCCATACTGTTGACCTCTGTGTCAACTCCATTGAATCAACACCAACCACCTTCATAATCACTTTGATTTAGAAGAATCTTCCTCCAAGGTAAATTAGAAAGCCAAGGATGTAGTTTGATGTGATTGAAATCTTTAGGTCTTCTTTTTGGATTGAAATCTGTTAACCAATAAATGAAAGATTGACCCTCTGGTTCCAGATCCGGATCAAGGGTCAAATCGCCATTCATGATCAATTTCATTAATTCATGAGAGTTTTCTGAATGATTCAAAGCAGAACAAAGGTATGAGCTTCAAACTTGATATCTTGATAGAATTATCAGCGATAGAAATCATTCACCTGGTGGATCCCCGTTGGCTATAGGAATAGTGTTGAAGTAAAGCTCGTGGGTAAGAATACCAAGAGAATACCAATCAATACTGAAGCTATAGTCTTCTCCTCTAATCACTTCAGGAGCCAAATAAACGATAGTGCCACATAAAGAACCTGTTTTATCATCATCAAATGAACTAACTTCCTTAGATAAACCAAAATCTGCAAGCTTCACGTGACCTTCATGAGTCAATAAGACGTTACTTGGCTTTAAATCTCTATAAATTATTTTAGATTGATGTAATTCATTTAATCCAGCGGAGATTTGTATGATATAATATCCAACTTGATCTTTGCTCAATTTGCCATTTTTTACTAATAAGTTATATAAGTCTCCCATCTCTGCGTATTCAATCACTATAAAAACGTATCTTGAATTCGCAAAAGTTTCGTGAAATTGTAAAACAAATGGTTTCTTTCTGAGTTTTTTCATAATCTTAATTTCAGATTCTATACTTTCTTTTTGTTTTGGACTTATAAGTTCCTGTTTATCGAGTATCTGAAAGGATTGTATCAAGAACCATGTTCACGATAAGAAAGTTGATACTCGAGGTCTTTGGAAAAAAATATCATGGGGTTCACTTACTTTGATAGCATAAACTTGTGAGGTTTTTTTACTTCTACTCAACCAGACCACCCCAAAAGCTCCTCGACCTATCTCTTCAACCAATTGATAATTCGCTATTGTTGTAGGGAGTGATGGATTACTTGACATGAAGGATAAAATTGTTCTTCGTCTAGAAATGGACGTTTCATGTTCTGTTAGACAGAACTCATTATAGCTAGACGGTATGGATTTCCTGCCAGCCTTCCGAGCGAATGTTCGTAAGCGTTTCAACATGTTTGATGTTTTGATGATTAAATTGTTTTTGAATCCAAGATGAAAGTAAACTAAAGTAAATATATGATATTTGAGTTCAAAGGTCTCTTGACCTGTCGTTCGATTTAGTCTTTGTATCTGCTCACAATATAGAAAGGGCATCAGCAACCTCAGCTCTTGGGCTTGTAACATTGCTGATGCAAACTCTGACCCTTTGAGCGAGAATGAGCAGACTTTTCACGCAAAATGACTTTGCGTTCGCATTTTGATATATGAGCAATGGCAATCGAGATTTCGACCTCACTTCAGACTCAAACTACAAAAAAGAAAGATAGACTGTGTGAGCCTTCTGATAAAATTATTCTAAAGAAAAGGTAAGATCCAGTAAAGACTTGACCATTTTGTTGACTTACAATTCTGGAGTCCTATCGTCACGCTTTTTTTACAGTGATTAACTCACTCGATTTGATTCCTTCACCCTCATCTCTGCTCAACAGTACTCTTGTTGGAACCATATACAGAGGTTCTCATCTGGTGAGCTCACCCCTGTTTAACTCAGGAGGAAAAACCAGGATAATCAATGTTGAAAATTCACCGAAGCTGACATCATAATCCACTCCGCGGGTCTTCTTACATCAGCACACTAACCTAACGTCAACACAACAAATAGAGATTATGGGACACTTGTGAATAAGTCTGATGGGTGCCAAATTATTTTTACTGGTCTGGCTCCGAAAATGATGATGTAAGTATAACTCCATTCAGAAATTGTCATGTGATCACACAAACCATCAAGGATCAAAGTTGAAATTTTCAAGGCCACTATGAAACTCAACAAGATAGATTCTATCAACAAATTGAATAGAAAGACCTACAGATCACGGACACTCCCAAAACCTTCTATCATTTGTAACAGTACACTCATCTCAAATCAACAATCTATTGACATCTGAAACACCCAGGCAAATAAACAAACAAGTCGCCATAGCTTTAAATAAATGACACGTACGCCAGAGAAGGTCCATGATTACCCATCCAACAACGACACAAAATTAAAAAACATAGTAGAAACTAGAAAACATAATAAAGAGTGACATTGTCTGACGATGCAAAGATAAAGAAGCGAACAATGATCTTCCAGATTCAAGTTTGACTGATTAAGGACTGTCTGATTTTGTGCTGATGATCTTGGTAGCAGCAGAAGTCACATCACTTATACTTCCTTCTACTTCATCCCAAAACCATCCTTCATAGAGGTACAACACTCCAAAGACCAAGAAAAGTATTGCACCTCCTAGAGTGACTGTGTTAGAGAGAGGAAACGTTCAAATGTCAGTATTTACAAATGCGTTCATTAACATCGAGCTGCTTACCGTGTTTAACTGAAATTTTAGTAGCCAACCAACGACCACCCATGACAGCCAAGAATGTACAAAATGCGTGCCCCAATACGGTACCAATGCATACCAGATATACACTCTGTTATAATCGCCGATCCACGAGAAGAAGGCACAACGATGTGAACAAAATAATTAAGCCGTCAGACTCCGTCAAATCATTGAATAAAAATACGAAATGTATAATTTGAAATGTGAATTACGAACATGAGCGGCTCCAAGTGCGATAGTTGAGATTTGGCTACGGTCTCCCCACTCGGCCAAGAAGGTCATAATAAATGTTTGAACAAAGACTGGTGAGAGAACTAGGTAAACCAAGTTCTTCAGTCCGTTCTGAGTTTGACTTTTTGATCTCTTATGACGAGGTCTTCCCGGTGATCCCTTGTTACCACCACCCGTTAAAAGTCGAGGAGGTGTCGATTTTGGACTTGAGTGTCTACCCTGTTCTAATGAATTGAACTCGGCTGTGGTTACATCCATATCTACTTCCTTTTCCCTAATTTCATCTTCAACTTCCTTCATCTCTTCTTGAACTTTTCCTGTACCCGATTCCATCACAAGACCTTCGTGTAACATCTTGACCCCAAAGACCAGGAAGAGTCCTGAGGCCGCTAGAACTGTGTAACGTCGGGAGATGAGAGTGGGTAAGATGTGTCCTAGACCTGCTGAGAGTATGGACATGACCAGAAGAGCTGAGAAGGCCCCCAGGAAAATCACCGATCGAGAATGTCGCATGGCTAGCAAGGCAGCCAGCAGGAATGTCTTGTCTCCGATCTCAGATACGACAATCATCACTGGTATTTATTTAGAGGTATGAGAGTCCATGAGTACGTTGTTTATGTTGAGAGATTCGATCAGATTCGTAGTTTGATGCTTTAGTCACTTGTATTATAGCTGGCGGATCTGAAAAGACTTGCCTATTGCTCGATCCAGACCAGCCAAGCTAGGTAAATAAGAAGACAAAATAGGATTTGAAAAGTCTGACATCGAATCTGAAGACATTGTTGCTTTCGAGGATGAATGAGAGGCGCTGTTCCTGTGTGAGAAGTTGAGGTTCGTTGCCAGACTCAAAAGATGATTCACGTTGTACTAAATGATGACCACTGAAGTGATATAAGCATATTCCCTTCGGTGGAATATAAATATCCTTCTACTTGAACTCTATCTTCAAGCAGCTTCAAGCTCTTGCAAGCTGCCATGGTTATTGTGCGAGCTCTAGATTTTCTTGACCAGTGACTCAAAGTCTGGGGTTTCAATAGGTTTCACTGTTTCTGAATTGACAGCGTATTTTTGAACATGCAATCAAAACATTTCTTCACGCAAAAATCACTTCAGGTTCTCACTGCATTAGTATTTGCGTGAAGAAGATTTGCTCTCAACTTGTTATAGGCAATAATACAATGATGATCTCATTTGAAGAGATGTGATCTCATTTGAAGAAATGTTGAGATCTTTCTTTTGAAAGATAGAGCACAGTATGTTAGCTGATAGAAACTGTAGGTCTAAGAATCTGATTTTATTAGAGATTGACATGAAAAACCTATTCATGCATCAAAGGAGGCTCCCGCTATGTCACACCCTCACATTTTGATTTGGATACCATGGGCTGGATGTGGCAATTTATTCAGAGATGCCGATGACGAAGGACGAGTAACCCTCAAGGGCTACATTAATTACGGTGAGGCTTTTGGTAAGTCCTTGTTGCCGGTAATCAACATGGAAGCGATATTGGACGAGTTCAAGAAGATGATGATCAAGAAACCCAACAACAAGGTTGGGTTTTGTTTTGACATGATGAACCCAAAGACTCAAGAACGAACTACTTCTAAGGCAAGTCAAATAATCTTCTCGATCTCAATCTTGAAGTGATACTTCCACTAACATCTTGAATTAACAAATAGGCATTGAAATTCAACCAAGCAATGTACCATAACATTCCTGATGCATTGGCTCCGGCTCAACAAGATGAGATAGAGATGTTGGTACGTTTCTTTTACCTTTATTTTCTTGTTTTCAATTTTTTTCTGATAAATCATACTCTTCATTGCTCTTCTACAACAGAGTATAGATATTGATGCAGCAGTTCAGGCCTAACTAACGACGTTGATGGCCTTGTATAGTGATTTCTCGATTAACGGCAGGGAGTGCATGGGATGTCTTAACATCAAGAACCCCGACCAGGCGATGTCAATCAGTCATCTGGGATTTTATCTGGGTAAATGATCTTGTAAGTTCCTCTCAGCTCCAATCTTCATCTTATTTTATGAAACCACAAGACTAACTATCCTTGATCTTTTTGACACAGGTAAAAAAGAAACAAGGCGTCACAATCAGGAAACCACCTCGCGGCCCGGAGTTCAAATGGGTTTCCTTGGTTCCAACATCAAAATCAAACAACCAATCAACCTCTAATTCTGCGCTCGACACCATCAGTGCTCTTCTGGCCTTGAACAACAACAAAAACCAAGCAGCTGTTGCTGCACCTGCAGCTGCACCTGCACCTCAATCAGATTCACCAGCCTCAGGAACCCCTCCTCCGATTGAGGACTACCTCAAGTGTTCTTTGATCGGCCCAGAGGATCAAAAAACTCGACACCTTTTCAAGAAATATAATATTGTGGACTTCGAAATGTTTTTCTCCAAAGAGCTTAGTTTTGCAAAGATGAGAGAGTTTGGGTTTGAATTTGGACCTGCTCTTTGCCTTCATCAAAAGCCTGCGTTGTATCAAGAGGACCTCAAGAAGAGAAACAGATCGGCTCTGTCTTCTTAATCCTTCTTTCTTCCACCCTCAAAAAAAATGTACTGATCCGCCCTCTTCTCAAAGAGTACTGTTAAAACTTGTAGCTACAGTATACTATAACTAAAGTACTCGTATACATTATTATCTGCCTGTTTTTTATGCCTGTTGTGTGATGAAATGGTTCTTTAGTGAAACATTTAATGCTCCAAACTACTCACTCAATGTTTTGAGTCATTGATTCGATAAAACTGAGATATTATCATATTGACAGAAGTTCATGATCGGTTCATGATCATGAACTGTTGAACTATCAAAATCAGTTCATGAACTGTCAAACTGTCAAACTGTCAAAATCAGTTCATGATCATGAACTGATTTTGACAGTTGCTGACTAACACGGAAATCAGTCCATGCCATCGCATCAATTGTAAAGTAGTTTGCTATTTGAATCAAATTGATTCATGTTCAAGTTGCACTCAATTGTGTTCAGAGTAGAAAAAAATAAGTTCATTTCTTCAATCATTTTGGATAACATACATGTTTTTGATTTTTTTAGAAATAGAAACATGAAGAAATTTTACAACTTTGTTCTTCACACCTCTGCATACTCTTTTTTTCTGTACCCACAAGTCACATAAAGACTCTTAATGAATGTGCTGGTGCAAATCTGACTCATTACCCTCTTCATACAACCCATCTTGTCAAGCGCCTCAGCAAAAAGCCCGTTCCGACAAAGGGCATCCTTGAACACCTTGAATGTTCCCTTGATTGGGTTGAAAGACGGCGAATAAGGTGATAAGTAAACTAGGACAACCCCTACTGCATTGCACAGCGCTTCAATGGCTCCACGGTGATGTGTCAACACGTTATCCAAGACCAAGACCGAGTTTTGCTCTGGGTAAGGCCGCGTGACAGGAAGCTTGATTCAAATCCAAGATAATCAATTTAACTTGCTCAATAACAATTGAAAGAGAGAGAAAACACTTACTAAAACATGTTTTAAAAACGCTTCGAATTTGTTTTGGTGGTAGGCATTCACCTTGGTATTGACTGCCATTAAACCCAACTCACAGATTGACGCTAGCATGCTATAGTGAGAACCAGCCCTGGTGCGTCTCAAAGCCTTTGGACGTTCTCCTTTTTGAGATCGAACCTTGTTCCTTTGCACATCCTGTGGCCAAAGACCGGTCTTGTCTTCATATATATAAGAACAAAATGAAATCAGGATCATGGAGATTGTGGATTGGAATAAAGAAGTGAAAGTTTGACTAACCTAAGAATACCAAACACTTGGTGGCAAATGAGCAACTTGGCCGGAATAGATTGCTCGACGTTTGGGTGATTGATTGATGTCGACCTTGGAGGCTTTGTGAATTGTAAGAAAGAGCCTTTCTTTTAGATCATTTGCTATGGTTTGTTGACAAGCGATGAGATCGGTGTGATCATACATCGCTTCTTGGATCTCGTCTAGGAACATTGTCGGATTGGCTTCGAGGAGTTCAACCATGAACTGACAATCAATGTCCGAGTGGATGGTTTTACGACCGTGTTTTTCGTAGGTAGCCGGGCTCCTCACAACTGCTTGAGTCTTGTCGTAGAGAGACTTCCACCGAGAGAAGGAATGGGCTGAGATTGCAGTGGTCAAGTCTTCGTTGATCGATTTCATCGTTTGACCCGCCATGAACTTCGTGAGGGCGATAACTTTCAATTGAGCAGTATATTTGACGTAAGGCATGATGGGATAGATGAAGAAAACGAAAGATTAAGAAAATAAGAAGGCATTTGAGGGAGATGTGGTGGCTGAATAGCTGAGCTGTTGAGCAATTTGGTCAACAGCCCCAGTTCAAAATTCAATGCAAGTACAAGGCTATGCTTATAGCTTTGCCTGTATTGCTGTGAAGGAAGTAAAATAAAAATCAAATCGGCCAAGCGATTCTGGTTTGACTGTACCCCGTCCGAGCGGGTCTTCTCTCAAGGCAGAGGAATCCTTTGCTATCAGCGCTCATCTTTAACACCCAAAAAATTAGAAATGATTCTTTGTGTAACAGAATGGTACCGCACATTCGGTGCATTGTACAATGCTGATGTTATAGTCTGCAATCACCTCAAAATGTTGATTGTAAAATCTCTACTTCACAGATATCACATCCTCATACTCTCATTAACTCTCCAGTGTTCTCAAAATCATCTTACTTTGTTTCCTTGCTTTACAAAGATGATTGCATACACCATTTGTTGATTCCCAAGATTGATGATGAAGGAGTCGTTCAGACTCATCTGACTTCATTTTTTTCAAGTCAAATCGGGGAATACCCGGAATTCCCCAATCCCCGTCCCCTAAATAGGGGACAGAGATCAATCCCCGTCCCACGGGGGTTTAACTTCAGAGACCACCGAATCATTCGGGGACGGGGCAAGGGCCTAAATATCAACGGTGTAAGTTTGAACTTTACATTGATAATTTTATCATCGAACCTTCTTGAAATGGTTGACTGATTTAGACCTTTGCCCCGGCCCCGGAATTCCGGGGACTCCACGGGTCCCGACCCCGCGAGGTCGGGATGCGGGAGGCAATTTGGGACAGGAAATCCCGCGGGGAGCCGCGGGGGCGGGAGTCGGGAGCCCAGCAAAATCCCCACACTCCCCACAGTTTGGAAGACACTCTGGGGGGGGAGATGGGAGTTGTTTTGCATTGACAAAGTGGTACATATTTGTACTTTCAATTTCATAAGACACATGTTTGTAAGTAGACTAATTTATTTATAATCCCTAATCATTGAGGCAATCAAAAAAAACTGGCCCAAAGGCACGATACCATTCTTTAACACAAAGAAGACGCTAAACAGTAGCCGGATTGAGTGCTGATCTCTGATGTTGGAGGACAGCACGCCCTTCAGAGAAGACGTGCTCAGAGGGGCAGCTGGTTGCCAGAATAGCGAGGTAAGCCTGTGCCATCGCAGACAGGGCAGGGTAAGCCTTCACCCTTCCCTTCCAATAGGCAAGGATATGGTTGTCCTTGTGCTCGAGGGGCTCCAAGAGGTAACGGGTAATCTCGTTTGTGACCAAATTATTGTCACCGAGATCTGGCACCCCAAAAAGTTTGGTGTCGAGTGATGTAGCAGGTGTGAGAGTTGGAGCTTGGGTATTGATGATGTCAGGAGTGGCAAAGCTGGCATAAGCCTGTGCCGCGTCGATAAAGTCCGCTTTCAATGAGTCTGACGAGTGACCACATATAGAGAGTGAGTCAAAGTGAGTTTTGTAAAACTCCAGCTTCACACAAGGATCAAGGATTGTCGCACAAATGGGGCCTGGCTTCTTTAACGCAGCAGTGAGGTAAGTTCAAAGTTTATTGATCATGTCGTCCGCTGCTGGGATAAGCTGAGCCAAGTCGTATGTGTACCGAACCTGAGTTTGGGAGAGATGTACAAAGTCAGTGTGGCGAAGTTAAGGAGGTGAGCAGAAGAAAGAACCCACTGCTTGTAACTTATTAATCACAACCACATAGATAGGAATAACAGTGTTGATTGTAGGATACCTGGTTGCACAGAGACGCTCGGTAGCATCACTAAGAGGTTTGAGAAACTTCATCATAACTTCGAGTTGCTTCCACTCCATCGACGATAATTTGGACTTTGCGCCCTCCGGAGTGGCCGAGAATTGTTCGCAGGCAGTCCTACACAATATCAAATCATTGAATATCAGTGAAATGATATCGTTAATGATCATGAAAAAAAAACCTTACCTGAGTAACAAGGCGCGCTCAAACATAGCGTAGGTGGAATTCCATTGAGTTCAAACATCAAGGATTAGACACTCAGCCGCGGTTGGAGTGGGTAAGTTGGATGGAAATAGACGGATGAAGTTCCGAAACGCCTCGAGGCGCTGAGGACTGCCACGAGTGTAGGTAGCAAGACCGTGGACTCGTTTGTAGACAGATGCCATGTCCACATGGGCTCCATCGGGAGTGTCAACAAGTGCGTTGATCGCCATTCAATTGGATGGAGTATCCTCGGTCGAGTCTTCAACAAGAGGACCAAGGACCTTGAGGCCAGCTTGAGCAGCTAGGTTCAGTACATGGGCTACACAGCCTAAGAGTTGCTTGTCAGCCTCAAAAGTACCACCCAAAGCGTTTTCAATCTCTTTGGCCATTGTGTTGTTCGAAGATGCATTGTCGGTAGTGATTGAAGCCAGGTTTTTGAGACCACCGTAACGCTTGATTGCTTCCATAAATAATTCAGCAAAGTTCTTTCCAGTGTTAGCTCCTAAAAGTAAGTGTCAGTAAAAAAACAAACATTGAGATGAGAAAATTCAATAGAGATAGACAACTTACCCTCAATGTGCGGGATACTAAGAAGGATATCGACCTTCTCAAATTTTGAATTGATCATATGAGCAGTAATAGCCATAAACGCGGTGTTATTGGGGGCGGTCCAAGCGTCAAGGGTGTAAGATACAGCAGGAGCTTCAGCAAGGAGTTGTCCTTTGAGGTGATCTTGATGGAATAGAAAGACTTCTCGTAAGTGTCGAGAGAGAGCATCCTCTTTGACCAGCATAGACGTGGTTTCTTGGTTACAGAGACGAAGTAAGGTGGTGAAGGACTTCTTCTCCATCATCGCAAAAGACAGGTCGCAATCACTAATGAGATAACAAATCACCATCTTTAACAAAGCAGTAGACAAGCGAGGCTTCGAGAGAGAAGGAAACAAAGAACATGGATGAGAGGCAAGTTGAAACTGGTCCATGTGGAAGAAAAAGAACAAGAAAGAAATGAAAATAGCTCGCTTTACATACCATCTTTTTGGTCTTCCCACTCTCCACGCATTGGTCGATCATGCCCATACGTTTGGTCCTCTTGTTGGGATCTTCAAGCTTGTGTTTGGAGGTCAGGTGATCGGACATGCCCTTTGTGCTCGATTGTGAATCACGAGCCAAGAGGGCCCCACATTCAATCCCTCATTTCGAGGTAACAGAGCACTGTACCTTTTTCCCGCAGGCGCTGGGGTTGAAGTGAGTCCATACCCAGCTTCGTTTACCGTTGTTGTTGGTCGTGCTGACATTCGAATCCTGATTATCGCCGGCTTCCCCCACTGCTGAATCGCCAGTGAGATTGATTTGATCCATTCGGATATCAAATGGAACAAATTGAAGTTAACTTTGATAAGAAAGGGCTTTTGGGGAGGGGGAAAGTGGAAATAAAAGGTAACCCCGGGTTATAAACGATGAAATCGAAACACTAACCTCGATGAAAAATTTCTTTGAAGCCCTTGAAAGTCGCACTAGTCGCGATTGAACCGAATACTTACCTCCTTGCGTCGTGAGGCAAGCTTCATACCCCTTGGCGTGTCTTCTTTCGGATTTTGGTGGGTTTTTTGGATTTTTTGGATTTTTTTTGGAGGTACCCCCCGCATCCCCCGGCCTCCCGCCGGGAAATCCGAGGGCGGGCCTCGGGAAAAAAATTGTACCTCTCGGCTTGCGGGGGTCCCGCGGGTTCGGGCTGCGGGGTAGGTCGAAGTGGCCGGGGAGTGGCCGGGGCGAAGGTCTAGACTGATTCCGTTTCCTTGAAATGAATATATAGGAACATATCGATTACTGTGGTTTTTCAGTCTTACCAACTGCTATTGAATTCGATTTGATGATAGATGATAGCATGTTCATTCGATCATCAACCCGATTCAAGTTCTGAAGATCAATATGATATACGATCAAACCGTTTTCGCAATTCGTTGAAGTTTCTCTATCAAATACAAATCCTCAATTTCAATCACATCAGTTCTCTTTTACGTTTGATTCTAATCAAACTCATCATCATATCCCTCGTCCTACAGGTGGTTGGGTCAAGTATGTCCAGGTAATGTTCTTCATCGTATTCATACTTACATTCATCAATTTAATTTCTGATCGGTCAATTTTCTCATTTTAGGCTTCATTAGAATCAGTTTTGAACTCGATAGAAAATGTTTATCAAGTTTCAGTTCCATCCAAAATTAATCTTTTATTTGATGGGAATTTACCAATCGGATCCGGACTTTCATCATCAGCTACAATGACCATTGGATCAGTTCTAAGTTTTAGAAGATTATTGAGTCGTAAATCAAAAGTCATTAAGACACATTTGGTAATCAAATTAGCAATCGAAAGTGAAAGATTATGCCGGATTAGTGTAGGTGGGATGGATCAAACTGCCTCAGTTTTTGGTGAAATCAATAAATTACTTTACATGTGAGCACTTTCATTTCTCCTGTTCAATTTTCAATTTTGTTCATTGACTCATCTATTTGTTTGAATTATGTTGACAGTCAATTCACTCCAGATTAAAAAGTAATCCCAATTTCATTTCCAACAAACCCGCCGAGTACATTTGTGATCGCCAATAGTTTAATCAAATCCACCAAATTAGATGCAGCAAAACATCAATATAATCTAAGAGTCATTGAAACTAGAATCGGAAGTAAATTGATCATAAAGCACTTTTTACCTAAAACTTCATCACAAAATCATGTCAATTTAAAAGGAATCATGGATCAAATTGGCCGGGAAACTGATGTAATGAAGCATGAGGTATTAGGTGATGAAAATGGTTTAGAGATTGGTCATGTTTTGGAGATGTTGGAGATCGGGATGGATCAGTTTGTTACTGAGGTGGAGGATGGGATTGAGGCTATACCTTTGAAGGGTAGATATATGGTTTTTAATCGAATTCGACATGTTGTTCGTCATTTTTGTTTCATCGACTAATCTTAAATTCTAATCATCTATTGAATTTCTTTTTTTTCAGTTAACCGAAGCCAAACGTGTAGAAGAATTTAAAAATTTAATTCTTAATCAAACTTCTGAAACTGAAGATATATTGGAAAAATTAGGAAACCTTATGAATCTATCTCATCAAAGTTGTTCAAAAGATTATGATTGTAGTTGTCCAGAACTTGATGAATTGATTGAAATCGGTTTAAAATATAAATCATTAGGATCACGTCTCACAGGTGAGTTCTTGGATTTTTCTTCAATGTCTTTCTGACACCTTTTGATTTACGTATGTTTCTTTTGGGGACGGCGAAAATATAGGTGCTGGTTGGGGTGGATCTACCATTCATTTAATTAAAGATGAAGATTTAGATGAATTTTTAAATGGATTAAAACAAGATTATTATTTAAAACGGTTTCCAAATATACTTCAAGATGAACTTTCATCAGCTTTATTTAAATCTAAACCTAGTTCAGGTTCATGTATCTTAGATTCATCATTTTTTCTTATGTAATCATTTTGGTGTTTTGTTTCACAATTATCTTTTTGTTTTGTTTTTAAGACAGATGATGTATGATGTACTTTTTTGAAAGGTTCGGTGAGCAGAAAGGAGGTTTGTAAGCATTGTTTGATAAACAAGTAAATAAATCTTTCTCGTATCACAATCAAAGTGTTATTTGGCTTGTCCATGGAAGACTTCATTTTACCTATGCAAACACATTGCGTTTGTTTTACCACTGCAACATCAAATTCCATGATTCTTCATAACAGACGCCTGGGCACAGTTTTTATGGCTTTTGAAGGCAGACTTATACATATTGGGGGCGCTGAGATATGTCTTGAGGCGTGAATACATTGGGAAAAAATGAACGGGTACCCTCAAGTAGCATCTTTTATGAATGGAAGACGCAGGTGAGGAATGTGATGAAGCGTGAGAAGTAGAAAGCTTTGGGTTTAAACAGACAAAAACTCAGTAAATACCCTCAAATATTAGCCATATGACCTGCCTTAAAAGTCTTCGGTCTATTTGAGGCATCAGTATCACATTTGTAGCTATCAAACAACTTCATCGACTTGCATTTTTTGTCTTATTAAACGAATCTCATCGAATTTGAAAAACAGAACGTCTGTTAACTCAAGGCTGGTGTATAATGAGATTCTCATGTCACGCAAGGCTAGAAAATCGACTGACAAGCATACATCTCAAATGATGTCAATGGCTTTCCGACAAGCCAACGACTACCGAAACCGATTGGCCAGGACTATTAACCCGACCATTCCTGGGCCACACATCCACTACCTTTAAGGGTAAACAAGTCGATTTGTGGTGGATCCCGGATGGCGGATCATCAGACGATTTGTATTTTACGTTTTCCCGCTGGAATCTACATTCCGCGCTTCTGGTGGCCGCGTATCCGTCAAAGTCTTGTGGTGTTTCATACTTGAGTTTGCAGTAAAAAGCACACGCAGTTTTCATGCATCTAAGAACAGAGAAGACATGCGGAAATTGACTTGATTGACTTAAACCTTTGATTTGATGGCATCAAGGCCAATCAGTCCGCTGAGAATCATTCCACATGTTTCTTATTTTTGACTTGCCCAATCAAGCACTTCATGGAGATGCTATTGAGATGAGATGGCTTTCTAATACCATACTCTTCGAAGGAAACTTGGAGGTCTAAACATATTGGGACTGAAGTTGTCTACTTGCAAGTCTAGCGCATATAGCCACTCGATGTGCATTGAGACAGAGCAAAAAATGTCCAGCTCTCAATTTATGTCAGAAAATAAATCACGCGCAACAGAGACCATCGAGAGACGTTGATAATTATGTTCATATGTTGAAAGATTGGAAAACGACATTCAGGCCATCTTTGAAAAACATCCAATCTGATCACTCTAGATTTGTGAACGCTTTGCATGCAACATGTGATTGAATAAATCGGGCCTATATCAACTAAGTATGGAAGCTTAGAAGACTCCTTGAGAAATGCTTTGATATTGGATTGCTTGCATAATTTGTGATTGAACAAAGAGTACTTTTAATGTACAGTTCATTGAGACTCGAGTTTCTCAATTTGTTCCCCTCGCAATGACATCAGTTGATGAATTCAGCTTGTGAATTGTAGGCCGGCTGATTTCTTAGCATTCAATCAGTTTTGTCCCTGTTTTCGACAGCTTGAAAGAGGAGAGCAGTGGACTTCTCCACTTGAACGACAGCGGAAGTGATGGCTGAAAAACGAATTGAAGAAAAGACAGATGTACACTCTACCAATCTCTTCATATTTATTGCAATATGTCGTCTTCATCTTAATCCGGAAGGTAGAATGGGAGACGTAAGTCCAGCTATCACCTCACCATTGTTGAGTGGGACAGATTACTTACGAAGAGATGCTTCGGAAAATGAAGTGAGTTGAGGATAATGTTCAAATGAGCCTGTGGTCAGATACATGTCACCGCAGAGTCTTCGGATAAGCCTTTTCCATGACGGAGCTTGTCTCGTGATGCTCTTTGATACTGTAGAGGGACCTCCTAGGAGAAATCAAAAGATGATGTAATTCAATCGATGGCACCATAGCTTGCTTCGGAGTCATTCAATCCATCTTATTAGGGCAAGATTTGGACTGCATCAGCTTGCACTTTAGTGAAGAGAAAGCATAATGTGACCTATAAGGTTGGGATCAGCCTGTAATCTTAGCGCGAGTTTGTTGAAGCTGATTCCACTGAACAGAAAAGGACAATTAACAAAACTTTAGGAATTTCCTCAGAGGTTGTTGTATACTAAGAGCCGCACTGAATGATTGGCATAGTATGCAGACATACAGAGAAAAGCAGGTTTGTTAGCATACAGTACCATCACGGAGCGAAGATGGGGCTACTGAACACGAGAAATAAAACATTACAATACATTTCCAATAAAATCATCCTAAGTATATGATAACATTTCTTAGAAAGGTCACGTGTGGATCAGCTTCGAAGCTGTATGTATCGGGTACAAATATCCTAAGTTTCTCTGATCGCTGTTCCTCTCCTTCCCAACTCTCTACCACCACCACCAGATTATCCTTTCCATAAAACTTTTTCACTACCTCTTGAATCCTTCCCACTTCTCTTCCATTTCTCTTTCATCATGAATCTCCCCAAGTTAACTTTTAAAAAGATCTTCGGTCCTCGTTTTCAAAAAACCCTCTTTGTTTACTTCCCGTTGAACTTCTTCTTTGTTATCTTTTTGATTTTTGGCACTCACAAGATCTCTCGTTTCAAAGTTCCAGAGTCGTTCATCCTTAAACTCATCGCTAAAAACTTGTACATCATTCTTCCTTGGGCTTATTTCCATTCTCATGTTCTTTACTCTCGCTACGACACTCTTCCAAAGAAGCGTTCAACTATTCCTGAGAACGATATCGACCTCGGTCCAGTAGCTCCTCTTCCGAAACCTCTTGATGCTCCAATCCCCCTTCCAGCTGAATTTGTTGAAATTGATCTAGGTATGTTATCTTTCCTACAGTTCTTCTTTCTCATGATTTCATAAACCAGTCTAACAAACTCTTCAATTGCTTCAAGGTGAAGGTCCCTCAAACTGCGGTCTTCCTGGTCCTCCTCGACCTTTTTTAACATGTGAAGTTTGAAGAACTCGACTCGATTTCATCTTGGTATGTTATCTCTGCCTTCATTTCCCATCGATTCATCTTTTCTGAGCGCGAATTCATTATGTATTTTGAGTGATCTAATCCTTTTGACTCTTCCCAAATCTCTTGTGACTTGGCAGGCGACGTGTTCCTCGATCTATTTCCTTATCTCAATGTCTTGTTTGGTGACCATTCCATTCTCTTGTTTGAAATGTGTTCTTGTTGTTTTTGTTTTGCGATGATGAGCAGGAGTTTACTTTTTGAATATTCGTATCGAGTCGTTGCCGATATTTGAATCAATTAGTACTTTCAATACCCTCACTCTGAGCTCCTTTACTTCTATTCTTCAATCTAATTTGTAATCAAAAGACATGTCAACATCTCCTTTCAAATGTTTCGTAGTGGCCGAATGAATAGGGATTCAAAAATACGATGATCAATTCAATTTTTCAAATCGGTATCCCTCTCAAGTTAGATGGCTTGAAGTTGCACGCCAGTGACCACGCGCTAGGCTGTTCCCGAGCGCAAATAAGTGCCCGCGTACATCGTCAAGATATGGAATGCATGGAGGACTAGTTGTACAGATTTGATCTTTGTCAGGGGGGGTTCTGAAGTAGACCGTAGATTTCAATTTTAGCTATCAGGCATATTCCGTTCCATTTTCCTTACATTTGACTCTGCTCACAAAGAAAACGAAGCGACGTGGGCATTTGAGCTTCAGGCCTTTCAATCAAACGAAGAAAATTATTTTGAAGCCGACAAAGCACTTTTGGTAAAAGCAGATGAAAACATAGGCAATATAGAAAGATTCAAGAGGAAGCATCAACAGTCCATTATCTGTATGCATATAGTAACGTCACAATAAGCCTGAGGATATCAAAGTACTGGTCAGACAGCTGATAAGCCTGATGGGTTTCAATAGAAACACAGCCTAAAACGGTGACGATAACCAAAGGAATTTAGTATTACAAAGGAGAACAAAGGATAACAAAGGATACACTTGATGACGAATCTATCTTTGACTCAACTCAGATAAAGAGGGCTCAATGAAGACACGGAAGACACACCGCTGGAAGAATGTTGTACAAATATAACAAGGAGATTTGAAAGAGATGTAATGCACACAGGAAAACGAACTGGAGTCCTCAACTCCATAGATGATGCACAAATGTAAACGCTGAATGATAAGATAGAGAGTACATTGATACGAGGCTTGGGTAGAACACGATTAGGTCATTCACAGCCAAGTTGTTGAAATGCGGGTTGAAGTGTGTTGTTAAGAAGGATACCCAATTTATTGATAGTTGCAGCATCTGTGTATCTTGAGTACTGGGGATTGCGTATCTAAAATACAAATCCGTGTCAGCATTTGGCCACCCATGCGAAATACGGTGTCCAACCGTGTTCGGACCAGCAACTTAACTTGTTGGAGTAGGTAACAGGCTGCTCCAATTTGCTCTATGTTTCGAAGATCGACTGAGTCTGAATTCCAACTGCCAAGGGTTCCATTGTTCCTTCCAAACTCAACCTATAGTTGAATCAAATCAGGTGGATTATATTCTTCACTGGTCAAATAAAACGAGAAGAACTTACGGGATCTACGCATTGACAAGTTACAAGTGAATGTGAACATATTATATGTCAAGGTAGGCACGATCAGAATACAGCGCAGGAGTTATTCATGAATGGGAAATAACTGACACGCCAGATAGGTTTTGTTCAGGGTGGCCGCCTGTTGGGGTAACTGTCAAGATCATAATGGTAGTTGAGGTAAGATTTTTCATGTTTGAAGTTTCACAGATAATCAAGATAAAAAGAGTTACACTAAGTGGCACTGTACGACGATACCAAAATCCATCTGGACCAGGTGGCAATTTGTTATCACCTCGTGAAAAGGTTCCATCCGAATTTTCAATGATACCAAAGAATGTTTGGATAGACTTGACATCAGGAGGTAATAGGTTTCCGTTGGCGTCGGCCGAAGTCATCGTGTCTCCAACAAAAGCTTGGGCTATATAGAGTGGAAATCTAGTTCGTAGAAAGTTGCTCAGGTGATATCATTATGAAAGGATGCAGATGTATTCGTACTAACTGTTCACCGACAGCCTAAAAGGAAGCATGTCAGTGCTGATTAACTCTTCTTGGGGATCTTCTAAGAGATGCTTACCCATTGACATTGGGGATTCTTTTCGCGGCACTCTTTATACTGATTGTATGATGTTTGATATTTTTAGCTTTCAATCATCAATCAAGGGAAAGATGTACATGTGATAAAGCTCCTGCATGCTTACCTGCTCAAATCGGGCAGCTCCATCAAAATCAATACTTGTCAAGCCGCCAAACTTATCGACTGGAATGATCAAAATTAGTATAAAAATAGAGACTGAGATAGATGAATATATGAGATCGGTTCCTACCAGCAAGCTTTCTATATTTCTTCCAATGATCGCTGTCAAATCGATCGGTATTTCCCTTTGCGAAATACCCATCCACGCGGGAAAGAGATCCATCCACTTCGAACTTGTTATGAGAAGCTTTCGAAAAGAAACCGGGAGCCGTGCCAAAAAGTGCTGAGTTAGGCCCATCGGTCCTCGAGTCTGTTTGCCCAATGGAAGTTTTGAGTCTATAAGAGAGACCAAAGGTTAGTTAATCTGATAAACAAGCACTTTACCGATAGATAGAAGGCCTTACGATGTGAGATCGAAGGAGGCTTTCACTCCAAGCGCCACGATGACCGCTGAAATATCTGGCCCGAACCCCAACATCTCTTGCATCCCGTACATCAATTCACTCACATTGGTGATACCGTTTCTAGAGATCTACATGAAAAAAATCATGGAAGCATGGCTCTATCAATATACTCTCATTCAAAGATGAAAGATGCATGACCAACATAACCGTAATTTGCCATGATGTTGAGGCCCGGACAACCACCTGCCAGACATTGTAAACGTGATATCAACACGACGTGATCATTTGAATATTATTTCTGAGATTTTACCTCTGATGTCAGTTGGGCCAGGAGACTATAGAGATAGAGCGCAGCCGGAAGAACCGCGTCAGAGATTTAGGCATCTTTCCTGCCGAGATGATGCCACTGACCTGGAACGGGTGGTCATCGTCTGGAATTCGTTTTCTACCAGAAGCAATGGTAGGTCCCAAATCCAGGGTAGCTAAAATTCTCCGGTGTTAGTGGGTTCATATTCTGGAATGATTAGACTGCAATGAAGGAAGAAAAATACGGGGCTGACTCGGTATGAAGTCACTCAAAACTTGTGATCTCAGGAGATTGTCGGTTGCCTGCGTGCTCAGCGGACTTGCGCGATTGGTTCGAGTTTCAAACTTTCAGAAATACGCGTCAGCTCTTGGCTCGCTTGCAAGGGGCGTTAAGAAGTAGGCTTACAATGTGAAAAGCAAAACCCTGCTTCAGCAGAGACAGAAGTACTATTGATAGCGATAATAACATCTTGTGAGTTGGATTGGGAAGCTATGGACGCTGTGCGAATGAACTATGGGCAGTGAGGAGACCGGATGTTTGAATCGATTGCAATCTTATAGTATAGTCAGAAATTCTAGATCATCCCGTGAAGGAATGCCGGAAAACCAGTTGAAAAATAACTCTATCGAGAGGGATTTCGCGATCAGCGATGGAGACTTGATTTTTGACAATGCTGATCCAGCGCTTCAGCTGTCAAGCAAACATGCAATTCGATGCCAAAGGGAATACGCACAATGTTGTATGTGAGTGTCAATGAAGCTTCTCGAATTCATTCCGGATGAGGCCAGAGAGCTGTGTGCATGGTATTCACTTTTCGATCCGCTGAGTCACGATGATCGCGCAAGGTAGGCATCACTGGAAATAAAATACGTTTGGATGTCTTCGGTCAGTGCACGATGTACGCAGATACGTGTAGACATTTTTGCGTGCATTTTCCTGAGGACCTATGAGGCACCAGGGGAGTCTAGAATCTTCCGAGAAGACTTCAAAACTAGGCTCTGTGTATCATCACGAAGTGCTGAGCCCCGAGTATCACATATACCGAACTGCTCCTTGGCAGAGGGGACATGGGGGTGCGATCTGGTGCGATTCAACCCCTGTTGATATCAAACCTTGGTCACACCTTTGGAAGCTTTTTTTCTCGGCTTCTTAAGCTCCAGATCCTTGGCCTAAACAGAACACTCTGTTGCAAAAGGCCTCAAGCTGAAGCTAATAGTAATCCCTCACAAGTGGAACTCTTTGTTTTCCAAAATTCTGTCTCGCTGTATGTAGTGTTATGCCAGGCACTTTCAGGGATCACAAAATCATCGCCGCTTCCTAGACGATTTTTTTGCATGAAACATTCAAAGGCACTTTGGAGGTATGGAGTCCCATGTGATGTTAGTTCTTCATTTGCGCTCATTAGATTCCATCCACTCAAAATTTCCACCGCACTCTTATAAAGACATATCTGTGTGTAGGAATGTTTTTCATTTTCTCTTTCCTGTTGTTGAAGTATTCTCAGTTGCATCTTTTACAATTTTTACGGTAACCGTGCCTTCATAGTTTCTTTACAGCCCTAAGATTCTTGATCTGACTTTGCACTCGAGAAATTGCTTATGGTTTTCGAATGTCTCAAATCTCAAGAACAATGTAGATTGATTGCGTGAATTCAAAACATCAATAATGCGGTTCCGTACGTTGTGGTGGTACATGATTCGTAGGGCATGACGACGCTTGATGAAATAAAATAATGCAGAAGAAGAAACAATAAAACGAGCGTATGACAGCCGCCTAGAAAACCGGTTTTCTCAATTGCAGCCAAGTTGTTCAAAAATGGGTTGAAGAGTGTTGCTAAGCAGGACACCTAAAGCTTTATTTAATACCGGATTATTGGCGTGTTTTGAGTCCTTGGGATCTCGCGTCTACAGTAGTGACCGAGTTATCTTATGAGTTCTCTTACCCGAGGAATCGGATATGTATTGGTTTTCAAGAACTTAACTTGTTGAAGTATGTAACAAGCAACATTGGCCTGCTCAATGTTCCGCAGGTCAGTCAAGTCCGCGTCCCAATGGCCAAGATTTCCATTGTTTCTCCCGAATACCACCTGGCGTTGGAAATTGAGCAACGAGAAGCCTGATCAGAAGACAAAACTAGTCACCCACACCATATCTTGAGGAAAGCACTTACAGGATCTAGAGGTGAATTCAAATTTGTACAGAACAACATGAATCAGAATCTAGAGCACGATTGCATGGCTACAAAGAAGAAAACTTGGGATTATTTGATGAGATCCTACTCACAAGGAAGAAGTGTTTGGGTTAAACTCAAGGTCTGCTCGACGAACTAGGAGTGTGGGCATTCGTGCTTGGGTCAGTTCTTCATCGTACTTCAAAATCTGGTAAATGAAACAATACACACTGTCAGGGGTACTGAACGACGATACCAATATCCATCGGGACCAGGTGGTAATTTACCAACGCCACGTGAAAACGTCCCATCTGGATTTTCAACTATTCCAAAGAAGGTCTCGACGGATTTGACATCGGGAGGTAACAGGTTTCCATTCTCATCAGCTGATGTCAACGTGTCGGATACAAAAGCCTGAGCTATATAGAGTGGAAGCCTGTTTTATATGAAGGTTAGACGTCCCAATTGTTCGTAGTATAAAGGCCACAGAGTCTGCGGTTACTAACTGTTCTCCCAAAGCCTGATGAGGAATTTTATCAGTGCGTGTAAGCGATTTGATACTTTGATTCAGAACGGCGCTTCTGCTCACCCATGTACACTCGGGGTTTTTTTCACGACATTCCTTGTACTATTTGCATAAAGATTCAGAGCTTCAGAATTTGATTCTCAAGTACGTAGAAAACATGATACAACTGGTCAAATCTGCAGGCTGACCTGCATGAACCTGGCTGCTCCTTCGAATTTGAAATCCATCACTCCTCCAAAATGATCAACTGAGGGGATGTAAGATGTACTCAGAATTAAATCTGAGAATAGATTTCCAAAGAAAAACATATCATACTGGCAAGTTGTCGATATTGTTTCCAATGATTGCTATCAAAATGATCGGTGTTTCCATTCGCAAAATATCCATCAACGCGCGTCAGGGATCCATCGACTTCGAACTTGTTATGAGAAGCTTTGGAAAAGAAGCCGGAAGCTGTTCCAAAAAGCCCTGATAGGGGACCATCTGTCCTAGAGTCTGTTCGACCGATGGAGGTTTTGAGTCTATACCAGAAAACATTTTGAGCCAATTTAACAAAACAAACGGACAAGAGGGCCTTACGTGGTGAGATCAAAGGAAGATTTTATGCCTAGCACTAAGATGATCGCAGCAATATCGAACGAAAATCCTAACATCTCTTGCATCCCGTACATCACTTCACCCGCGTCGGTGATGCCATTGCGAGAAATCTGTACATGAAGAGATATTGAGGGAGCTTGGTTTTGTCAGAGTACCAATATGCAAGATCAAGTGATGAGGCACTGACATAACCATAATTTGCCATTATATTGAGACCCGGGCAACCGCCTAGATGTTGAACACAGTGATGTCAGGAAACTATCGTGTATAATGATATTTCAAATAGCGATTTCTACACCTCTAATGTCATTCGGCCCTGGTGGCTATAGGGAGAGAAAAATGTCCCAGAAGGTACAAGACTTTTCAGAAATTGACTTTGTCTTGGATGTCGATATGACTGACCATGAACGGATGATCGGCATCCGGGATTCGCTTACGACCAATTGGAAGAACGGGCTTCAGATTGAGTACAGCTAGAAGTGACGTGACATTAGTGGAAATACGTTTTCTGTGATCAACTTCAATGGATCAAGGCAGACTACTCACTTGGTATCAAGTGTACCAAGTCCAGAAGCCCCCGTGATTGTAGCTCCTGTTGTTCAGATGTTACATTCAGCGTGCCGGACCGCTCCGCTAACTATTGAGAGTGGCCCAAAATGAGGTCCTTGCTCGTAAATACTTTGAAAGGTGTGTTTGTAGAAGCTCAACTTACCATTCGGGGGAACGCGCATGTCTGCTGAAGCAGGGTGATGAGTAGTATTACAGATGATAGCATTGAGAAAATTGATGACTTCTGAGAAAGTAATGAATGAAAGATTTATAGATTTCAAAGCAGGAACGAACGGAAGTACTTCATCACGGAGCACCTCTCATATATACCTTTTGACAAAAGGTTGATCTCCATTCTGAGCGATTCAATCATTCAAATTGATCGTAACTTAGTTCATCGGGTCCTTGCGTTGACTCGATGCGGAAAGAAACGAAAGAAACGAGTATGTCGTATGCGGGATCCCAAACGATGACAAGTTAAATTCAAACGTTAAATACCTTCAATTCGATCCTGATAAGGACAAACACTTAAGCAGTTGCGGAAATCTTTCCTATTCTCGATTTTCAATCTGTTAGAAAAAGCGCGGAAATGGCCGATGAAGCGGCCTGTACAAAGCAAACTTAACAAATTCCTTCGCGCCAAAGGCCCGAGGCTTGAGCGAGGGACTTACACCACGGAAGGGCTTTCTGTCAGATTTTGGCCTGACGCCGTCTGAGATTGGTCAGGTCGAGATTCGGCCTCAAGACCGACTCGCAGGCCATTTAGAAGCGGGCTGCAGCCGATCTTGAGGCCAGCGAGCCAAACGCGATGGCCAGGTCAGATTTGAGATCGCGGACTCGCCTGCAGGCTGCCTACTGACGGCCTGCAGGCGGGCATCATGTTTCCGGCCTCATCCGGCCGGAAATCCGCGTGCAAGCGGCCAACAGACCGCCACCAGATGTCCACCACGGACATCGGTGGTTTCACTTGATTCCCAAAAGAACTTTGTCCCAAACACACCTCACCACAGCCACCTTATCATTTGTGCGCGCTCATTCTCAACCATGAATGATCTACCACGGTGTAAGTCTTATTTCAATCACATCTGAATGTCAATGAAAGCTGAACTGACACTCAACTCATGACAGTCATTGTTGAACAAAGCAAGAGCCCTTTAAGGTATCGATGTAATGTCTGCACCCAAAGCCGAACTATGAAATTGTATGAAGCTCACATTGCTTCACCGGCGCACATACATGCCTCAGAGCAGTTTCTCACAAGACAAGCAGAAGACCGAGCCCTACGTCAGCAGTATCCGACCCCTGCAGAGAGATCACCAACACCACCAGCAATCAACCTGAACCACTACTTTGAAGACAATGACCATCTTTCCGAATCACAATCGGTCCCACCTTCACCACTTTCATTCCTCCGCTCCTTTGGCCAAACAGACAAGGATGGATATGAATCAGATGACTCAGACAGCCAGATGGATTTTCATAAGCTCCGTGATGCCTTTGATGCACTGACCACAGGACTTGACAATGCTGAAGATGAAGCTGTCTACGAGGAATTGTTGGACCACGAGCTCTCAGGCATTAGAATTGAGGAGTCAGCCAAATGGTACCCCTTCAAAAAGAAAGAGGTAAGTAGCTCAAGTATACTGCATCTCTAGACACTCATTGATTGTTTTCAATTGTGACAGCATGTGGTAGCTTTGCTCATGATTGGTTCAAACCAGAACCTCCTCTCGCGTGTCCAATACCAGTGAATACGGTCCCTCCTGCGCATTCTGGGAGTCACTCTGCCAGATTGGGGCACTCTGAGGGCACTTGTCAAAAGATTGAAGAAAAAAATGGGTCTTGATATACGGGAAAGGATTAGTCCATGTGGGAATCCACTGTTTGGTTTGGATGTCAAATTCATCATAAGTAACGTGAGCCAGCTTTACTCACTCTGACTATTGGAGACATAGCTAAAGTATTTGCGCTCACAGGAGTTGGCAAACCCCTTGGTCAGCCCCTATTTGGTATATGTGCCCGAGCTCACCATCGATGGGCCAATCAACCGGCTATCGCAATGTGAAAAGTGGCGTGAAGATTACCCTCCTGATCTACGTGTTCAAATGATATCATCCGACAATGTCCACTACTACATCTACGAGCCAGTTCAACTGAGGACTCAGCAGCTTGTAGTACCTATTTTCTTCTTCCAACAGGATGGTCGTCTTATGGCCAAGTGTCTACCAGCAATAGTCAAACACGATCCTCTTCGCCGGTCTCATCTCAAAGTGATCATTCCTCAAGATTCCGCTTTTGACTCTGACATGCTATTCACAATTCCTTGCAAAGACTTCTGGCGATCATTTGGACATATTGAGGTGGAGAATGGAGTTCTTCTGAAAACCGTTTGTGGGAATCATATGTATCGTAAGTCGATGTGTCACCAATCATATCAATTTGTGAACTAAATGTACTCAAGAGCTAATGTGAATCATTGTCCTGAAAGAATCTGAACATTCAACAGTACCATCCAATCCAATTGAAGACCCGTGGCGAGCCAAGGCACAAGGCAAAATGATCCGCCATGTTCCTCTCGCTCTTTATTCTGACGACACTTCAGGAAATGTATCCAAAAAGTGGAACAAACACATGAGTATCTACTTTACCCTGGCGGGCTTACCATCTGATCTATCAAACCAGGAGTTCAACATCCATTTCCTGGCCACTTCAAATTGTGCGACAGCCCTGGAGCTATTTGATCAGGTTGTTGATGATCTAAAGTGAGGTGTTCTTGTTGTTGAAATGGGTCTACTTGGGTAATTAACATGCACTTGCTTCCTCTAGTGATTATGGAACAAATGGCTTCTTTTGTTATGACCAACATCTGGGTGAAGAAGTCTTGGTAATGGCGGTGTCTCTTTTTCACCTGGGGGACTCTCCAATGCACGCAGAGATTTCAAATACACTCAACCCGGCCAACACCCTCACACCATGTCGGATGTGTGATCTACATGTAGCAAAGCAGGCTGACAAACAATCAGAAAATTTTGTCAGAGACTTTCTTGGCCTGGATGAAGATGGAGAGAAGGTATGAGGCCAATCTTCTTTCTTCCAGATAGAAAAACTGAATGAACTTTGCAGTGCCTATTACCGGGCCGAGATTGGGACCAGACTAGACGATGGACCAAGGAAATTTGGAACACATCTCAACAGCGCAACACTAAAACTCGAGTTGAAAAGATGAGCCGTGACTTTGGAGTTCGAGATCCTATGAACAAATTTTTCCAGAAAAATGTTCAAGTAGCCCATGAGTCTCTCCCTCCTTCTGAAGTGGAGAAACTCTGTCAAGACATCAATGCTCAACATGGAGAACATATCTTCAATCCCATGTTGAGACTCAAAGGTGAGTCTCTCTCATTATACTTTGCTTTCAGTTGGAAGAAGCTGAGCCATAGAAATTTTTTTGTAGGATTTGACGGTCACAAAGATACTCCAGTCGAGGTCCTCCATGTGGCACTTTTGGGTACCACAAAGTATCTCTTCCGCGACACAATGAAAGAACTAGGAAATATCAAGGCCGGCTCAAAGAACTACAACAATCTTTCTGGTCGTTGGAGGGCTTTCAATACTAGTGGTTTGAATATCCCGCCCATTCAACCAAACACAATGATTACTTACTATCAGAGCCTAGTGGGGAAGGAGTTTTGAACTGTGTTACAGACCGTCCCCTTTGTCCTCTTTGAACACCTTAGTGACGAAAAACGCGAAATGTGGACATCTCTATGTCTTCTAGGATCATATATTTTTCAGACTGAAATACCGAACATGGAAGCCTATCTAGCTGAACTGGACATCGCCATAACCAGATTTCTCAAAAACTTGGTAGCCCTCAACGCTCGCTGGGTCAACAAGCCCAAGTTTCACATGCTCGTTCACCTACAAGATTCAATTCGTAGGTTTGGACCGGCTTGTTTATTTGCAACTGAAAAACTCGAATCTTTCAACGGTATCACTCGCCACAAATCCATTCATTCAAACCATCAAAGTCCAGGACAAGACATAGCAAACACTTCCTACACCCAGTTGATGATGCGGGTTTTTGTATCTGGTTCTTCATTTTTTGACCGTGATCTCAACTCGCGTGTCCATAGTGGCCCAAAACTGCAAGCGTTATTATCTTCAGTACCTGAGTTGTTTCAGGCAATGGGTCTGGACTCGTCTTTGGGGTGTGTCTCCACCTATTAGATTGGCCGTAAGTAAACTTCTTTCAAATATCTGGAAGGCTTCATCTAACTCACCTTCTTGCTCTCATAAGCCTTGTGCGAGAAACAATCAGTTGCACCATCTTGCATCCCACTCAGTGTCGACCGAGGAAAGTTGAAAGAGTACCAAAGTATCAAGTTAATTGGGCGACACAAGGCTAAAAAAAATGACTTTCTGGTGGTTTGTCCAATATGTATTTTTTTGATACATATTAAAGTAAGGCAGAGTGCTGATGTTTGTGTATGGCAGGTGAACTCCCGCGAGGTTGGCCAAGTGCAATCAATCTGGAAACTCCAGGGGGTATCTGATTCCCACACCCATCTTATTATCAAAAAATGTCAGAAGGGTCCAATCAACCCTTTTTATGGGATGCGGGAACTTAAAGTAACTGATGAAATTGTGATCATCAATGTCAAGGTAAGGTTCAGCTCCTCATAGTGCAACTGGGTGTTCTTATTGACTAACCATATTATGGCTCCCAGGACATTGTGTGCTTGCTGAACGTTCAACATAACTGCCATGATGCTGGTTGTCAATTGGCCAAGAACCACCGCAAGAAAATTGAGCAGAGGGAATCAACCATTGGCCTGTGGGGGGTCGAACATGTTGATTCAAACTCATTCATCCTCAATGCGGGATCACATTACAATGGCCATGTGCACCGCGGCCTTTCAGATTATCAACTCAATCCAGTTTCACCTGAGAATTGGAACCAGGCCATCACCAAGGGTCTCAAAGTTTGGAAGGCTGAACCATCTCCAGCAAAAAAAGGTAATCACCAGGGTTCAGAGAACATTTGAAGAAGGAGATGGTTCAATGGGATAACATTTTTGGTGATTGATGCAGCCCCTTTTGGATTCCATAGACAGCCCAATGTTCCACTTGGTATTACACATATATATAACACCTTGATGAAAAACAAGTCATCTATCCCATTATAAGCATGATAAAAAAAACCCTTCTGCTTGTATTCTTTCTTTTTGGCAGGTCCTGGCCAAAGATTCAAACATATGTCAATCTATATTTTCATATTGGTAAGTATCGTGATGAAATACTCACCATGCTACACTGTCAACTAAACAAGATGACATTGCCGGACATATGTTCAGGGGAAACCAACTCGAATTTTTTGCACTGAATCATTATAATCAGTATTGTTCACAAGGAGCACACAATTCAAAACTCACCTTCACGCTCGTGGTACCAATTAACCCACATGACAGCCTCATGAGCTGTTGTCGCCATACAAACTGCCGGTAGGAGGTTTGGATGAACAGTTGCCCGAATGATGGCCATGAGCACTTCATCTGCAACCCAATCGCGTAAGGTCGTAATTGCCGAGGGAGGTTCATACAAGTAAAAACCTCTACCGGTGAACCACCAATAACATTCATTGACCGCGTAGAGCCACTCCTCATAATTGGAGCCATTTCGCTTAATACGAGGGGAAATGCTGGCGTGTGCTTCCATTCTGCGGTGATCCACATAACGAAGGATGTTGTCCACGGCGTCGAGATTGACACCAAGGTCGCGCATGAACTCTATTTGGGCAATGAGATGAGAGGAAATATAAGGAGGTTGAATTTTAGGCCGTACCATTTTCATTTTGGTTTGGTGATAATGTGAATGACTTGGATATTTAGGGGGGAATGAGATGGATGTCTTGTAGACTTGAGGCAATTTCTACGAGTCTTTATATATTATGCGCAAACAAAGCCTCGCGCGAATGCAACAATCCAAGTTCCATTCATGTTTGAAGCTATAACAGCTAAAGACATCAGAACACTTTAAATGGCAAGATCTGATTATTTCAAACGAGATAACATCATTGTCATGCAAGATGCGAAAGGCTCGTGTTACATATCAAGCCCAAAAACAAGGCCAAAAAAAAAGAACAAAACATAGGAATTCAAACCCCGTGGTGAACGTGGAATTGATAATACATGACAGCGTGAACCATCAGTCGAGCGCTGCTTCCGTGAGAGATTCCCCATTTATGCAACAGTTCCCTATTTACGTAGTCAACAAATAAAAACAAATCGAAGTGGTTGATTCCGTGATGGCGAAGTATTCGAAGGACCTCTTTCGTTTCACATTCTTGCAAATGGGCGAATCAAATATACTCTTCCAAAGACGTGGCGGCCATGACACGTCGAAGAGTCGAAAAATAGACGGTTCCCCCATCAATTGTGAACTCTACGTAAGAAGAACTTCCCATGAGCCTTCGAACAAGCGAGGAAATAGAAAGGACTGACTTACTTAAATCATCGACTGGTTCCAGAGTATCCAAACACGGAGTTTCGACATTCAGTGAGGCCGAATGAGCGCCTAAGCTGGAGTCATCCATTGGCTGGGCAGACTACTGCTTAATCGGAGTGGGGTTTCGCTCCGCTGGCAATTCCAAAACTCTAAAAAGCAGCACAAGGTCAGTCCTGGTCGAGGTTGCTTTAGCCATTGATCAATTTTGAAAAAAGCACTCACATATCATGGGCAAACCCAAGGAAAGATTGGTCCGAGACCTTTCTCTTTTTTGAAGTTTGGCTGCGAGTTCGCGATGGGGACATCGTTTAAAGGCGGGAGGTGAAGTTTTATTCGATATATTCAATATCGAACAAAATTCAAACAAACGAAATCTTTGCGAAGTATTCGAGAAGTTTTCTTGACCAACAGATCGATCAGCTGTCAACCTGTGGGCCACACAGATCTGTCAAATGTGGCCCACGGCTCCCCCTGGCCTCCTATTTTGGGAAGGTGCAAGCCCAAACCTGTGAGGTTGGGCTTTCATCATTCTGACCCAAAAATTCGCCACCAACTTCCTCCCAGAACTTATCGAGAGCTTTCGAGTTCACCATGAACACAGAAACACCGTACAATTTCAGTAAGTTGAGTGGGCGTTACTCTTTTTGTATGTACTGACAGACATCTTTTGTTAGGTGGTCAATTCCGTGGCCGAGGTAGTCTCGACCTTGGCGAAGGGCTCGAGATGCCATCCCAAGGTGGATCAATTCAAGGTTTCAATAACCATGGCTCGCTCAGGAACCATTCAAACAGTGAGAGTAAACGGTTATGATATCTTACAGGTGAATCATCCCACCTTACCTCACTATCACTTCGTTAACCAGGCTCGTTGGACTCCCATCGAGGTCGACATGAGGGTGGGGAGTCCTCTCGCAATATGAATCACAAGAGGACTCCCAACCCTCATGTCGAAGGCCGCTTGGAGTATCCACCTCGAAGAGAACGCGATGACCGGTCTCGATCCCCCTCAGGTCAACGCTTCAGCACACAAGCTGGTGCTGAACCGCCATCCGGCGGTCTCGCATATCAACAAGATTTGCGAAATTTCCGAGATCTCGACTTACCAAACCCTAATCGACTAGCAGATGAAGTCAGCGACGGGCCAGCTATGTTTTCAAGTCCCCTCCCCGCCCCAACCATGCAAACCTTTCACGCAATGGCGATGAGGTGTGGTTTGGAAGGCCCTTTTCTTGCTTACGCGAAGGACCAAGCGGAGGTAAGTCTGTTCAGACTTGTTGATTTCTTCTCTTTTCGTTTCTTTCATTCAAGTTGTCGTTTAATCAATTTTTTTTGTATATCTTTTTAATTTCGACTTGGTCAGGTATATGGTGAGACCAACCGGCATTTGGGTCAGGTCACCGCGAATTCCAAACTCCTCATGGAGTTAGCACGTGTCAATGGTAAGATTGACACGTTAACTGATCAATTTGCGACGATCACAAGGGCTGTTGCTGCACTTGCTTCGCAACAAGCACCACCTCGAGGTCCATCACCTGAAACCGAATTAGGACAAGCACCAGCATCCGCCTTGGCCAAACCTAACAGCGCCCTAAAGTGGCGCCCCAGCTCCAAACTTCTGGTAAGGCTTCTGTCTTATGTACATATCAAATGTTCAAACAGAGAATTGACATCGATATACATTGCACTTGCCAAGGGGTTGATCAACCCCTTGGCCCTCAAACTCCTTTTCTCACCGATAATCCAGTCGTATACCGCGCTCGAAAGCGTGTCGGAAGGGTATCTTCCAGACTCGTTATTCAATACTATCAAGGTAAGGTACCTTTACTTTACACTGGTATCTTATAAGGATCTGACTCGCTCTAATGTTTGGTATACTTTAGAAAACCGTTGCGAAAGAAGGCGCGGTATTCGCGGCCGAGCACCTTCCTCGCCAGATCTGCGGAGTGGAAGAAGCCCCTGACGCACAGACCTATGCCAGCGCCCTAAAAAAGGCTGGCAAACATGCTAGAGAAAAATTGCACAACGTTGTAGGTAGTCTTCCACTTGCTCATCTCTCGTATTTATTTGGGAGCAGTGAAACTCACCACCAAGACAGCTCTTGGTAGGCATTCACGATTCTAAAACCAAAGAGCGGGTTGACGTGGCGGTTCCGAATATCAAAGGCATGGTCCAACGCGTAAGTTATTACAATTCACAACATATACAACATTTGATTAATTGTGTATAGTTAAACTCAAGGTGGCTGTGAGGTGTGGAGTTGCCGGTGAGAAGGTTGGCGTGGAAGTCGTTTGGGCAGCGACCGACCGGCCAACACGGGCACGAATTGCCTATCTTGTGAGTCAAAGGAAATGATCCCTTTTGGAAAACTACTTGCTCATACCATTTCTCTTTCTGCTCAGCGTCGAGAAGCGGCGCGGTTGGTGCTCAAAGGGGGTAGAGGATCTGAATCCATTTGGGCTGTAGTGGATTGGAAGCTTTCCGAGCTGCGATTGAAGGGGAATGAAGACTATACGACTGCGTGAGCAATCATATAGTTACATATGATTTTCATTGACTGACATCGTTCTGTGGTAGCTTTTATCAAATTGTCTATGAGGAGGACCGCGAGTACTTCGATGGCAAAGTTTGGTTCAAGCACCTGCAAGAACGAGAGCCAAAAGTCACTTTGGACTTGCCATCAGACGAAGCCATCATGGCACGCATCGCTGGGGGCGGAGCGAATCCGACTCCGTCTGGATCTAATACTAGCTCGATCCACAATCCAGCAGCAAATTAGAATTAACATACCTCTTTCCTTTATTAATATTCATGTTTATTGAATCAAGAAAAGTACAAAACAAATGTTCTGCTTCTGCTAGTTTTTTTTCTCCTTGAATTTTTTATTATTGAAAGTGTTTGTCACAGTTCGGAGTTCCTCCCTCCAAATTGTAATAGATTGTGACCATGAAATTCATCGGTTTTGATGATTTTTATGTACCGCGAGCTGCTGAGCTGAGGCTGAGCTGAGCTGAGCCCGAGCTACCCGTAACCAATGTCCGAATCCCGGGAAATGCCCGATACAAGAGCTGAAAAGAATGCGTCGGGCGATGGTGCCTGCTGACCGTTGGAAGGCAGATCACAGCCGGCCTGCAGGCAAAATCCAGCCGGCCTGCAGGCGAAGTCAGTAGGCGCCTGGCAGGCGTCTCGCGTGAGGGCTATTGGCAGACGGCCTGCCCCTATGCAAAGGCTGGCGGTCTGCCGCTGGCCTGCCATGGCCGCCTGTAGGCGGCCAAGACACCTCTGTGGTGTAGGGCTGATGTCAAATTTCGAGCGTGAGATCGGCCGGGGCATTTGGCCAAAAACACCTTCACATTTACACCACCGGAGGGTTTTGCCGGTCTTGAGACCGGCAACGCAGACCGTCTGCGGGCCGGCTGCGCTTCCGCAGTGGTAGACGGTCTAGACCCAGCCTCACAAAAACTCTCGATTGGATTCATCGATGACGTGGTCCATGTAGTGGCGTCGAAATCTCTGGAAACCAACATGGTCAACCTTCAACAACAAGCTACAGAATCGCTAACTTGGGCCAACACCCACGGAGCAATCTTCGACAGGAAGAAAGCGCAATTGATTCATTTCACGAACAAACGACTCAAAGAACCCCTCAGCTTCCAATTTGGAGACACAACGCTAGAACCTCAGCAATTGGTGAGATGGCTAGGAGTCTGGTTCAACACAAAGCTATTGTTTAACCAGCACCTCAAACACATCAAGAAAGCAGGAGACTTCACCTTACATCAACTCCAAAGATTAAACAAGTGCTATTCAGGCCTCTCGCCGGGTGAGATCAAACGTCTGACACTCGCTATCTTACTCCCACGAGTATTATATGGCAGTATAGTATGGCTAAACGAGAGAACCTTCGGCAAGACAAATAGGATCCTATCTCAACTACAGAATGCAAGCCTCAGAATCATCTTAGGAGCCTTCAAAGGCACTTCGACAGAGATGCTCAATCACAATGCCTATATCACACCGTTCTCGATGATAGCGACGAAAAGACACCACAACTTCCTCCTGAAGAGACTAGCAGCACCCAATAACCACCCAACACAAGTTTTCATCAGACACGAGCTCAAGCTCAGGCCATCAAAACATAAAGGCCCAATTCAAGAAGTACTAGACTACCCAACTTTCCGCAAACTCGCAGAGGAGAGAATTGAAACAATCTTTGCACACTCTCTTGTTCCATGGACACCTAACATTGGTGTACTTAACAATTTTGACAAGACGAAAGATGAAGCAAAAGATCTGATCCCAAAACAAGTCAAAGAGGAAGAGGAGAAGAACTCGCTGATCATTTTCACGGATGGTTCAGTCAGTGCCGAAGGGGGAGGAGCCGCAGCAGTGACCGGATCGACTAGTAAAACAGTGACCATCAACTCAATAGACAACTACTCAAACCACGAAGCAGAATTACTGGGGTTCTTACAAGCCACGGAACTGGCAAATGAAATCTTCAGACGCCATCGACCGTGTTATAATGACCTAGCAATCTTTAGCAATAATCAAGGAGTACTTCGACTAGTCCATAATGCTCCAAGACAAGCATCAGGACAACACTTTGTTATCAAGATACGAAGCAGCTTAAAACGATTACCCGCTAACACCAAGATTTGACTATACTGGACACCTGGCCACACAGGCATTGAACTCAACGAAAAGGCTGACGAGCTGGCCAAGAATGCAGCTACAAGTGGAACGAACTCAATTGAATTACCATTGAGCCTAGGTAGCATCAAGAAACGGACAAAGGAAGAATATAACATCAAGAAGGTGATCATGAGACCAGGAAAAAATCCTTTCAAAACTAAACCTCAAGAAATTTCAGAAAAACTATTAAGTATGGAGAAAGGAAGAGCTGCGGCAATTGCATGAGGGCAAAACACAGCCCACTAAATGCCCATCTCTTTAAAAGAACACTCACAGATTCACCTTTATGCCCAAACTGTCATGTAAAAGAAACTACTGAACACTTTCTACTTTATTGCAACAGGTACAAACGGGCACAGAAAATCGTTCAATCCAAACTACGAAAGGAGAAAATTAAAGTGTACTGGAATAACGCCAGTAAACTATTAGATTGTCCTAAAGCCTTTGCTTTATTAGCGGTGTGGTGAGCAAGATCTCTACTTAAGCAAAAAATTTAAAAATTGTGTGAAAATTTGTATTTTCGGTCAAAGGCAAATTTATTATTGAAGTTATTAGTCATCAAGGGTATCATAGTTGATTCATAATCCTCATTTCATTATCTTTCAAATCATATATTACATAAGCAATTGATAAGACCATCTCAGAGTGGAGAAAAATTCGAAAAGATCAATAAAAATAGTATAAGAGTGAGAATCAAATTAAAGGAATTAGTAAGAAGGGATTTGAGGAAGAAGAACATTCAGTTTGGATCTTAAGGAATGGAAACTGTTATGAAAAGAATGAAAGAAGAAGAAGAATATTAAGAAAGTTGAAGGAAAATTCGAAAATATGGGTATGAAAGGCTGGAAAGTGGTTTTTAGGTTATTATTATAAGAGTTATTGGTTCAGGAAGGTTTTATTGTGAAATGGAAGGGCAATATTAGTCATCAGCAACTTTAATCACGAGGATTGATAAGGGATGTGAAATTATTCAAGAAAAGGGAAATTTTGAAAAAGGGTACTATGGTATTAATTCCTGTGTAGTGATGTCATTGATGGATCGATTGCGCCAAGAGTTTTTCAGATTGATTTTAGTGCTGTGCGATTGATTGGAGTGCTGTGGAATGATCTTTTGATAGAAGAAAAATCATTATTAGACGTGAAAATAGTCAAAATTTGTCAAAAATGGAGGTTTTTAGTTAATTACATATGGAAAGACTTGTCAGAATTGGGTGTGTAATAGTTCATTCGACGCAGAATCATTGGTTTCATAATGTGCAACCTTTAAATAATTAGTAACGGAGGAGTAGTGAAAAAGTTATAAGGCAACAAAGAAACTGGAGTGAATTTCGAATTTGGAGGTTACATGTGACATTTACATGACAAAACTTTATTTTCTTAATCTTTACAACTCAATAACTTATTCATCACACATCAGAAACAGATGATATGGGGGTGATAAATGATCAGCATCACGAGGGCTATCAAATGAGCTATAGTAATCAAAAATTGAACAACTTTACAAAAAATTTGTAATTCCAAAAATGGATTTCAGCTATGAATATTAGGAAAAAATCACCTGTATTCATCATAAGAAGATCTGTTCATCATTTATTAACATCAATTGATTAAATTCACGCCTTGAATCATTACAAACAATAATAATAATGACATCATATGGTTACATTGGAGAATTTTCTGTTGATTTTGACGGTTTTTGAGGGTTTTTGGAGGTTGTTGACCATTTTTGAAGGTTGTTAGAGGGATATATACTATTGTTAAGGATTTTACGGGCTTTTGTTCCCCTTTTTACTCATCTTATACTTTTGTTAGAGTGTTTTTAATCATCATTAAATTACTTTAGCAGTACTAAGTTCACTAAATTGCCCCTTTACATCAAAGGAGAGATTTCTTTACGTGTGATAAGACTATAAGTCTTCATTGGAATAACAATCAAACTGATTGTTGCTTTTGCTAGTAATTAAAGTTGTGTTTTGTTGTGCTCAGATTGGAATAACACTACAATAGTGTTGAGATTTCTTTATTTCTAAAAATCACGGGAATAATACTGGGATCCTACTAAATCTAGCCCGCTTAAGAGATATCCGGCGCCCGCCCTGTTTGGGGTAATACCCAATAGTACCCGACAAAAATCTCACATTTTGGCTGAGCTCGGACCTTAGAGGGCTCCACACGGGCTATTTACGTGGGCGTTGTCACATCCCACAGCCCTTTTATGTCATTCCTTGACTCAAAAGGGGCAATCAATCAAATTAAAACAAATAAATGTTTGTCTCAGGGGCTGCTAAACCACTGGCGCCCGGACCGAACAGCATAATCAGTACACACAGGGCCAAATGGAGATGGAGGGTGAGAGTAAAGTACGTACCATCTCACTTCTACATATAACACATCTCCTTCCAAGGTTAACTTCACCCTTTTCCCTCCCTTCCCCTTGCCTGCTTAATCACCTTTCCCGCTCACACACTACCTTTAACCTTACTCGTTTTCACCATTCAATCCCAATCCTCACAACCCCTTAACCCTCCGCATAATACATCAACCCCCCATACAACTACCAAATTAATCCCCACCCTTGTACGAATTGTGTCTCATACAAGATTAATCCCCACCCAAACAGTACAACTTTGGCAGATCGAAAAGCCTAGTTATGCCCACCCAATCTACCCCACATACATTGGGCGAAGTTATACAGTCGTCAAACGTTTCAGATCAGAATCCACCTCCTCCGATTCATGATCAACATTACCCACCTTTTCCATATATTGCTCACGCTCACCCTCCTCATAACCACTTTAACCAACCAGCCAGTTACTGGTACCCACCTCCCGGTGTTCCCTATCACCAACCTCCAGGTGTAACCTATCACCACTGGCCCCATCCTGCTTACCTTGCACCCCCTTTCACTAATATTTCTATCAACGTTCCTCAAAGTGTCCCCGTTCCACCTATTCATACCACCGTTTCGCCTATTCAAACCGTTTCTTCTGTTCAAACCGTTTCACCCATTCAAACTGTTTCACCTATTCAAGCCGTTCCATCTATTCCAATTCATACCGTTTCGCCTGTTCATACCGTTTCCTCTCTTCAAAACGATCCACCTAGTCCTATTCATACCGTTTCACCTATTCATAACCGTTCTGCCAACTCTTTTAACATCTACTCCTATTCAATCGACACAAAGTGATACAACCACAATTGGTATTGAATCTCATGCACCTGCTCCTAATCTGATTGATCCAATCATGGGCATCGATGCGCTTACCCTTACCACAGCAAATGAACGAGATGGCGACTGGCCCCTAATCGGTAAGCTTTTCAATTCGAACTCCATCTTTCACTGATTGAACGCAGGCTTACGAACATCTTACTCCAAAAGGGGCTCAACCTATACGCTTACTTGAAGGACCTAAAGCTGGGAAACGCTTTCTACAGATGGACAATGGTATCATGTACATGAATGCGGTTGCCCGCCATCAAGGCTACGCACTGGCCATCAAGAGCCACAAGACCGAACACCAGACCACCATCAGGATCTATCTTCGATGTTCATTAGGTGATAGACACATATCAACAGCCGAGGTTGATCCACATCCTCCAAAAAGACGGGATGTATGTTCGAAGTCTCCCTCAACTATCGTGCCTCACTGGATCGATGGATTGTTACTTACAATATCAAGCATCCGGTGAAACTGAGTCATGATCACCCTCCTTTTGCTAAACCCCACAATTTGGCAATTTATCGTCGATTCCAACCTGAAATTCGCGATCAAATTGACATCTTGTCTTCGGCTGGAGTTCGAGCGGCACAAATTCGAACTCTCATCGATGTAGAACCCGGGTCTCAACCCTTAGTCCGCGATATTCACAATGTACGGTCTCGTCTTAGGATTAACTGGCTAGACGGACGAACACCTGTTCAAGGGCTGTTTGATTTAATCACCGCTAGTAACTGGGCTCACCAATCATTAACTGCTGAAAACGGCACACTTCTCAACCTTTTTTTTGCTAGTCCCTCAGCAATATCTCTCACTCGCCGATTTCCAACTGTTCTCTCACTCAACTGCACATACAAAACAAACAGGTTCAATCTTCCTCTATTACATATCGTTGGAACTACCAACACTCACCGTTCTTTCACCGTTGCCATGTGCTTCATGAGCAGTGAAATCGAATCCCAATACGAATGGGCCCTCACACAGCTCAAAGACGTCATTTTTACTAGTGAAGACCAGTCTGTTACAGTCAACTCACCTAAGACGTTTGCAACTGACGCCAAGCCAGCCCTGTTCAATGCAATTGCAACTGTATTCCCTGAGTCAGTACACATTTTGTGTATCTGGCATATCAACGTCAATATTGCAAAAAATTGCAAGAACAAATTTTTGGAACCCGATTGGACCACCTTCATGAAGCTTTGGAACAACTTCGTGGCCTCATCAACCCAGACTGATTACAATGCTAATCTTGAGGCAGTTACCGAAATGGCAAAATCTCACAATGTCTTCGAATACCTGGAACGGACTTGGCTCCATCAAACGGAGAAATTTGTCACCTTATTCACCGGTCAAACCCCTCACTTTGGTAATTCTTCAACATCACGAGTAGAAGGTAGTCACTTCCGAGCTAAGCGGTTTCTCGACGGTCGAAACAATGATTTTGTAACCTGTTTCAAGTCTTTTAAACGTTTCGAGGAGCATCAGATCAGCGAAATCAATGTTTCTGTGGGCATTGAGAAGACAAAGACGCTTCATGATCTTCCTATATTCTTCAAAAAGTTGAATGGCATTGTGTCTCATTTTGCGCTCAAAAAACTCAAGGTAAGAAGCTTTCTTCCTATAATATTCTTCAAATTGTTGAATGACATTTGGTATCTTTGTCCTCTTTAATCAAAAGGTTCAATACAGCTTGCTTCCCAATTCGCTCAAGAAACCTTGCACTGGAACTTTTCGAGGTGCTTGGGGCTTACCGTGCTCGCACGAACTGGCCACCGCCCGAGACAACTTTGACTTTCTTCAACCAGAAGCTGTTCATAACCAATGGCATCTTACGATGGATCTTCCACCGGACAACTATCAAGGGCTTCAGGCCGCCGCACGTGTGAAATTCAATTATATTTTGGACTTGCCAGAACATGTCCTTTGCAAACTTTTTGCCGAGATATCACTTCTGGAAACCAACCGTTTCTCTCTTGTACCAATTTTGAATGCAGAGGTGAAGACCAATAACCGAGGACGCCCACGAAACAACACTTTGAAACAAACTGCTGCCTCCGAAGAGGGAAGATGGAAGTCTGATTTTGAAGTTGCTGAAAGTTCCAAAAAAAGGCGTGTCAACAAATGCAGCTATTGTTCTGAAGGTGGGCATCGTGTCACTACTTGTAAGCGTCGTCTTGCCCAAGAAGCTCAAGATAAAGCTCAAGATCATCCAAGTTCCAACTCCGAGAACAATGTTGATGACGTTGATATCAATTCTTCAGATGAGGAAGAAGTTGCAGTACTAGATTCATCTTCTGATGAATCACAAAATGAAGAAAATTTGTGTCCGTTTTGTGATGAACCCCTCCCAGCTGACCCATCTTCCAAGCTCACTGCATTGAAGGCTATCCTCCTTGCAATTCCAAACATTCGCAAAGGTATTGGGCGTACAGGAGCCATGTCCCTTCCTGTAAGTTGAAAAACCATATCTTTCTTCATAATATTCGGATATTTATGTTTAATTTTGAATCTACAGTTTACGCAAACCGCAGATTTTTGTCAACTACATCATAACGAGTGCGAGATCATACCATTTGGTGTCAGAAAAGGTTGGCCTACCTCAATCGATTTTATTGGATTACCTCTGTAAGTTCACTGTTCACGTTGTTCAATCTTGATTTGTTATCTGACATGAATATCTTTCATTTAGTCGCATCAAAACCTATATTTCGACTCTCAACAAAATTGTCAACAATGGAGCAATATCCCCTTTCTTTGAAGAAGCGAAGAAGACTAGGCTTTCAATGGGTCGCCGTATGCCTGGGCAATTGGAGAATATCGAGGTAGAGCTCCCTGGATAGTCAGTATCATTCTCTTAACTTTCACAACGTTTAGTATGAGTTTGATGATGTTGACAATTGTGTCTTTTAGTTATGGTTATCAAGGCTTCAAAATAATAGTCCGAACACTCGAGTCAATCTTCATCAAAGATACCTCCTCTGCCAATCATCTCAACAAACAAAAAGCATCACCTCTTACTGCTGATTGCTTTATTCGACAAGTGCTACTTCCTGAAGTGGCTTTATTGTTGATTGCTGAAGATTTAGAGAAGGACCGAGAAGATCCAGTGGTACGAGAAACTCTGGAATGCAGCCGCGCTTTTGGTTCTGCAGTCTTCCCCATGCCAGACGAACCATTTGAATTCATCGAACCCAAAGAACTCCAGGCACCGGCTCCAGTGAAACCAACTGCTTCTACTTCTTCGGCTCCGACTGCGTCCTCAGCAAATATATTTCAAACCTTGGCCCTCCTAACCCCCGAAGACCACAACATTTTGAAACAACTCCCTGCTTTCATCATTCCCTACATCACGTCGTTATTCAATCCACCCGCTTTGGGTAATTGTGGCTACTATGCCATTGCTGCGTCACTCAACCTGCACGACTGCGAATCCTATGCATCGGTACGGATGAGACTTTGTGAAGAGCTATCTTCTTTTCGCAAGGACCACGAGGACCTCATTTCAACTGTTTCAGGAATGAAGAGCGGGATGCAGACTCGGCGAACCCGGGGCAAGTCTTATGTCACCGAACTAATGGAAGATCTGCTGGTTCGACTCGAACCTCAAGGTCCCACATGCAAACAGGCTTATTGGTTGCGGATGCCTTATCTAGGCTACATCATTGCTAGTGCTTACGACTGCCCTGTCATTTTCTTCGACCGCCAAGAAGGCAACTGCTACTCTTTTTTTCCGTATCGCACAGCACCTAACAATAACCCTCCTATCTTACTTGCGTTTGTGAATGGAAATCACTTTGTCAGCCTTCGTTCAGATGGCAGGCTGCCTTTTCCAAAGACATATGGCGACTACCAATTGGCCACGATCAGCAATTCCAGAATGCCCCAGTGGGTTGAAACTCATCAAGAGCAAATTGATTCTTGGCTCAACCACGAGGGTGTAGTGGTAACCTGTTTGTGACCGACAACCTTTTGTCGTTTTTATTTATGGTTGTGTCCTTTCCTTCTTGTCTCTAATCTTTTTCTACCTCTAGCTTTGTGATTCCTCTCTCTATTGATTCTTTTCTTCGTGACTTTCTTTGATCTACTTTAAAACCACTTTTTGTATGTGTTGTGCCTCCGCTTTTCTTATGGTTGTTTTTCCTTCTTGTCTGTTATTGTTACAATCCTATGCTATGTATGCCCCCTATGCCTATGCCAATGAATAATGCGTTTATTATGCCCATGCACATTCAGTTGTCGGAGTAAACAAAAGATGGTCACATCTACACATCTACCTGTGAAATTTTGCAAATATGAATGAGAGACGAGTAGCGAGTCTTTAATTGCATTTTGTATTACATTAGAGTGTTAGTGTTAGTGAGTGTGTATATGGTATGTCGTGAGTGATCCAAAAAAAAGAAAGGAGGGTTTGGAGAGTAGCCCCCCTTTTTTTTTTTTTTTTTTTTTTTTTTTTTAAAGTGCATTGAGCCTTTATTGCATAAAACACTAACTGAACAAGTTAAGAAAGAGAAGGAACTAGTTTACCTAAGAGAAGCGGCCATCTAGTCGGAGCAAGGGAATTTGTTGACTTCTAGGACATCCAGATAATTTATATCTACACTTTTTAATTTACTTTTTAAGAAAACTTTTTTTTTTTTTTGAAAAACTTTGATGAGACTATCTCGGAGGTGATGATCCTGCCCGAACCCTTTCTAAGGGGATTCAATAGCTCTGGTTTTTATAAAAAGAACCCTTGGGAGACCGTCTCGGAGGTGATATTCCTAACCAAACCCTTTCCAAGGGGATTGGACAGCTCAGGTTTTTCGCTTTTTTTTTTTTTTTTTAAAAACCCTTGGGAGACCGTCTCGGAGGTGGTGTACAACCGAACCCTTTCTAAGGGGATTGGACAGCTCAGGTTTGTGTTGGTGAGACCGTTTCGGTGGTGGAGTACCAGCCGAACCCTTTCTGGGGGATTGAACGGCTCAGATAG